GGAAATATTTACAGTTTTAATATTAAATATTTGCCCAGCTGAATAAATAAAATATGAAAAGAAAAAACATATTTAAAGTCTGAAATTTCAAGACATTTCTATCCTACCCTCTTGCATTATAAAATTGTGTCAGAGATCTGGTGAAAATTGAGCTTCAGTCTTATGTAACTGAGACACTAACCGTCAAAATACTGAGGTCAATGTCTGGACTTTAGTCTGACATTCACTGGTTCTGTCGGTGGGGGAAGATTCAGTCAAATAATTTACTTAAGAAAAAAAATACAGAAATAATGTCAACAAAATAAACTTAAAGTATCGAAGTAAATGTACTCAGAAAATAGCTCATTTTACAGTGTTATATTATTATATGTCATATCAATTGATTATTACTAACTGTAAGCAACATTTTACTACTGCTTTTTATTATTTCAATTTACTTTTGGGTAGTTTAATCTGTAGAAATGTGTCATATTTCATTTGTTGATCATATGTTTCTATGTAAAATGTGAACCTGCAGAAAGAAGCTGTTGGATAAATGCAAATGTTGTGGAATAGAAGTATGAAGTAGCACAAAATAGATATATTCAAGTAAAGTAAGTTAAAGCATCTCAAGCAGAGAACTTTAGTCAATGTATTGAGTAACTTTCTACCACTGGTGTCTGACTTATTATTACTGTCAATAAGAAATCTTCTAAATGCCATAAACAAATCAGCCTGTTCAGAGTTTCACAGTCTTATCAATCACATGAGCACCGACCCTGATTAACTCAGACTTTGTGCCTGCACTTCCTGGAAGTCCTGACATGATGCATATTCATAGTCTGGTGCCACAGCTCTGGCGATGCAAACATCGGCCATCACTGATACTATTAGAAGTCTTATCTGTCCTCCGTGTGTTAAACACAGTCATTGTCAGGCTGTTAAAGCCCAACACATAGTGGAGAAAAGATATTACACCAGATACAATCTGTAAACGTTTCAGCTTGTTGTCAACAAAGATTTTTTTCTATATTTTTTTGGCATCTTTTCCACAATCTTCTCTTTTCAGGAGCAGCTATTTTATATTAAGGATAAATGTGTTTTTTGAAAACAGCACAGTTAAGATGTGGTGAGTTCAGAGTTTTCACTCTCTCTGTTATCTGCCCGTCTACATGTAAACCAAAAACAAATATAATCTCTTACGTGGGTGTTCTCTAACACACATATTGAATCACAACTTGAGGAGGATTACTTTGGGTTTTAAAATCAAGTCACAGATAGGACACATAAAAGTCTCATTTTGTGCACATTTTGTGTCTTTTCCAGTAATATTTTGCAGGTTAACTGTCACTCCACCTGAACTGAAAAGCTGCATACCACTTATTTTAATGTAGACGTACTGCAGTCTGTGTGCGCTGTGCAGTTGTAAAAAAAAAAAATACCGGTTTTAAATTGACATTGGTAGATATGTAATCGACCGGGAGCAAAAGGTTTCCCACTTTCTCTGACTGTCCAACAAAAAGTGTTAATGACAGTGATTTCTCCAGATTAACGGCCCCTTCCCTCCTTGTAGCTGCCGGACCGGTGCCCGCTCCTGCAGCCACCACAGAGCTCACACACTAGTGAAATATGTCCCACAAGTACTGAGAAGTGTTGACCTACAATATCTTGAACTCTGGTTTGTTGTGTAACTTGTCGTTAGTGTTAGTTAATCAGTTGTTTACACGCGCGAAAGAAACCGGGTTACTCAGAGAAATCAGGCTACGAGCCGAGGTTTAGAAAATAGCTGCTTCCTGATGTTTTATTCCTTTTATCTGTGTTTTGTATTATCTGACCGGCTCTCTAATGAAGGTGGGAGCATGTCTGAATTATAGAAAAAAGGAGAGTTTCATTTTCACAGCCTGCACATATTCATGGCTGCACTGATCTCTGCTGTCAGAGGTCTTTGTTATGCACATGTGCAAATGTAAAACACTGATTTTAAAAATCTCAGTTACACAAATACCATGTACGACAAAAAGAAAAAAACTCCCAAGGGCAAAAAGGTTGTAGCTAGAAGATGGTAATAAGCTGCAGCCTCTCAAATGGTATTAACCATAGTTTCCTATAAAAGTAAACTCTACAAAACAAGAAAATAGAATAAGTTAACTTGAATAATAATGAATTTATACACTAAACTACCAATTGATTATTAAAGAAAGTAAAGTACCGATCCCAGGTTGTAAAAGTTCAGTTATAAATGAAGTGATCTTTCTCTCGGCCTTGTCCACAGCACTTGTTCTGTAACTGTCAGCTTGGTTTTTGAGGGGTGCTCTTCCTGTTTTGTGCGGTAAAACCAGATTTTACAAACATTTTCGGCTCCTTAACTGTTAAACAGAAGTAACATCCTCATCAACTTGTCACTGAAAATCCTCGTCATCCTTGTGACCAGTTCAATCAAATAGCGACTTTTTTCCTTTATTTTATTTGAATAACTTCTTGAATTTTCAGGAATTCACAACAAAAAAGTGCAATAAATAAATAAATAAATTCCGTGTAGTCAAACTATTTTTTTTATTCTATCCTCTTGTCCTTTCAGTCAATTTGGAACCTGTTTGTTGGGGCTCCTGATCCCCAGGTGGGGCAGCACTGCTGTAAAACATATTTTTGTGTGTAAACTTTATTTTGTGTAAAAAGTCTTTTAATCCTCTTCACGAGGAGCATTTTAGCCTGTTGATATGTAAATAAATGTATATATATATATATATTTATTTATGTCTAAAACTGATAAAGTAAAGCAGTGGTTCCCAACCTGTGGGCCGAGGCCCACTGGTGGGCTGCGAAGGTATTGCAAGTGGCACCGACAAAAACCAAAACAGTAACATTTTGGTGAAAGCTGTAATTATATACATGTCTATATTATATATATATATACCTTTAAAACCTTTAAAAACCTTTAAAATCTCTTCAAGTAGGACAGGGACAAGTACCTTAGGTAAAGAATTTATTACAAAATGTATTACACTATAAAGTGTCAGAAGTACTAAGAACATGGCATTCCAAGACATGCTTAAAGAACGTAACATAAATAGCAACAAAAAAGCTTGTGCAATGTGGCGATCAGACCGGAGTCTACGAGGGGAAAATTCACTCAGAAGAAACATCGAGTACGTCTTTCCTCCGTCCATCAGAAACATGTTTCTGAGAAAACCTTTAAATCCAGGTGTTTCAGTTGGACCCGCTGCCAGAAGCATCCGAGAGAGACTTAATAATATTATGTTGATTCTCAGATTTTACCAAAAAAAAAAAAAAAAAAAAAAGTGCCTCTTTTTCTGGAACAAGAGAAACAGAAACATAATATTCACTTCCCTTTCTGAAGAATCACTTCTCATTTGTATACTGTACAAGGCAATAACAGAGGAATGAATGAGTGTGTGTGTCAGGCACACGACATTGGCAACGATTATACACAACTTCAACAAAAGCCTCAATAAAATAAGAAAATAAAACAATGTTTATGACCAGTTTGGGACATTTCATTGCGTCATGTTTTTGTACACACGTCAGGGTTTCATTGTTTTTTTTACTTGTCACCTTATTCTTAGGAAGATTGTGTAGTACATTCATTTTGCCTCGTTGTAATCAACATATTTGGGCAAGAAAAAAGGTGAGCTGAAAACAAACAGAAAAGAGAGGACGAAGTCGAGGACACAGGCCTCGAGTATTTACATCACAGCAAGACGTTTGCTGTGTCAATTGGCAAGTTCAGGCTGAGACAAAAATAGTGAAGGAGTACATATTTGAAATAGTCTTTAAAGTCTTGTTTCATCTCTGTGCACAGATGTTAACACTGGAGAGGAAGTAAAGCAGACAGGAAATACTGGCACAGAGCTTTTCTTCTATCAGACTGTGACACTATGTCCTGATGTAAAGGCCCTTTACATCCACAAAGTTTTACTTTTTAGGAATGAAAGACTCTTTTCCCAACATCATCACATATGTACTGAAATAAGAAGCATTTTTGGGTCCATGTCAGATCACAAACATTATAAAATACCAGCTTACACAAGGTGAAAATGCTTTTCTGGGACATTTCTGTCATCAGCAGCCTTTGGCCTTTTTCAGCTAACAATACAAACTTCATGCCTTCTTTCTTTTCCCCTGCTGACCGTGTCCGAGCCGCAGCTTCGCGTTATGAAAAAGACAAACTGAAAGAAGATGTGAAGCCACGCGTGGCCGACCGACACTGACAGCGATACTGAGAGAAGCTCAGACAGAAGCAGGAGTCGATGCCACCGAGCAAAACTCTGACACTGTGGACGGTAACATGACTGTTGACGTCCAAGCACTGGTCACTAATGCAGAAAACCTGTTGAGGAAGCATTAAAAAGGTGCAGTGTCAGGCTGTAGATATAATACATCACTTTTTAGCTTGGTACAAAAGACAAAATTCACTTTCCTTTAGGTTGTTTTTCTGTTTTTTTTTTTATCACCTTGATGGCACTTTCTCTTCAGAGCACGCTGTATGAGTGTTTGGACCCTGAAGCTTAGCAGCATCAGTGCTGAGCTTCACTCTGTCTGCCATGATGATTTTTAACATTAACGCTCAGCGACGATGTGTGAACCCACTACAGCAAATAAATCTAGATGCTGGAAGGATCAACGCCTTCAGTAAGACACTGTACTTTAGGAAAAAAAACTCTCCTTTTTCTGTAAAAATGGCTACAGTTCCCTTTGTGTAAATGGTGAACACATTTATATTTACACTTTATTTTACAGGTCCCATGGTTTCCTGATAATTTCCTAGAGAGGGGTTGATGTGAGAATGAAAAATCTATATGAAGGTTCCCAGAAAGATAATTATATTAATTTATTCGCTCCAATTAGCTCTTAACATAACGCAGAGTGTATTATGGTTGGATTTTAGCAGTTCTTTTAAAGGTCCCATAATGTATAAATTCTATATAAAGTTCTTTGATTATAAAGCAGGTCTAGTTTCTATATTAATACTGTGAAAGTATCTAAGTCTCAATCCACACAGAAATGCACACAGCCTGTATTCAGAAACCGAGCCTTAAAACCAGCCGTCAGGACTTCTGTAACTTTGTGACATCACAACAGGACAACTTCAGTCAATACTGAGAGAACAAAAGACAGAAAAATTGAATTATTCTTACTGTTCATTGTGACAGTCAATGGTAATTTAACTCACCACTATTCCTCAGTTTAGAAAAGTTTGAAATGTGACAGTGACAACAAACTTCTATTTGCCTAAAAAAAGAGTTCGACATCTGTCCACTCATGAACTGCATGTTCAAAATGATGACGCTCGCCTGTTAAATGGCAAAGACACACTATAGAAATTAAACATCACCTGCTCTTGTAAATGACGCATCTCTACTGCAAAGAGCAACAAGGTGGGAAAAGTGTGCGAACAAAGACTGTGATGAGCGAGACCGTCGCTTGAGACTGAGAAAAGTCCAAGTCGAAACACTAACAAGAGAAAAGTCTGAGACAATTATCTGAATTAGTACCAAATTACATTGTTCTTTATGGGAAAACTCCCTGGAGATTATGGAGAAACTCTGGGACATATAAAACGAAGAATCACCAAAAAAGTCATGGTAATGCTTTATTTCACCAGTCTGTAACTTCCAGTTTATCTAATAATCACAGGTCAAATAGACACTTTGGGACTATTTCTCCAGTAATTACACAGTTCAGGAAAAAGAAAGTATCAGGAAGTAACAAACCTGTAAAATAAAGCGTCACCAAATCAATCAACAAATCATTGGTGTTGTTAGATGGATGAATGAGGGATAATACTACGAGAAGGTCAGCGGTAAAAAACCCACAAATACACCGATTAAAAATGAATGAAGTAGTTTCCCTTTGAGCCCACGGCTTCCACAGAGCGTCACACAGACTCCACACTGATTTAATATCACGTCTCATTCATCTCCTGACCGACTCCCAAACATTAAACAAACAGCAGAAAATCTAACGATCTGATTTCAGTCGTGTGTTTGTTTTTTGTTTTGTTTTTTTTTGCCAGTGAAATTCAAATTTCAAAACTTTGTAAAATGAGCCAAGCTTTCATTTTTCTTTTTCGTGTTCTTTCTTTAATAATCTTTTTCTTTCTGCTTGATAGAAATTTTTACTATTCGTGTCAACAAGGCACAGTTCTTCAAATGTTAGAAAGAACTACTTTGTTTTTATAACAAGACTATTTGTGCTCTTTAGGGAGGTAGAAGGCCACAAAGGCACTCTGAAAAATGCTGTTAATTTATTAAATACTACGCTGAACGGCCAAATGTTACACCAGTAAAACAGAAGCGAGGGGGGAGATTTCACTGTATGTTGTGATGGATGGAGTGAGTAAAGACGACAGCCTCCTCATGTACACTGATACAATAAAGTCCTCAGTTTTTACTGAAGGATGGATATGAAAAAAGGTCCAAACATGAGGCTGCCTTCTTTTTGAACCACGTCCGTTCCTCCGTGTCGAGAGTTCAACTTTCTGACTGTTATCTGTGAGCGGAGTGAGACTTGCGTGTACAGTAGAGCAGGAGGGAATATTAGAAAAGCAGCACAACAAGATTAAGAACAGAATATAAGCACAGGATTCCTCTTTGGAGCTCAGGACGTTTAGTTCTTTCACAACATTCATAGTGGAAGGAAAGGTCAGCTGTACAGGTGAGAGCACAAACACAACATCTGGCTCATACGCCGACTTAATGGAGTGATTGAAGAGCGAGCAGCTGGACTCTCTGGTAACGATTGCACTTGTTCATTCGCACACGAGTCTGTCGCGGCCCTGTTCAGGGGAAATGTCCCATCAGACCGACTGTCTGACGTCTGGCGAGGACAGAAAGTCGACCGTGTTCGGTTCAGCGGGATATGACCGAGCTGATGGAGTTGTACGATGTTCCTCCGTTGCAGGTGGGCGGGTAGCCGTTGGCGGCCCCTCCCACTGCCTCCATGTTGACCCTGAAAACAGGAGAAGCTTTGAGCAGGAAGTCGGCGGCGTCTCGACGGCCGAGCTCCCTCAGTTTGGCCATCAGCACGCCGACCGTGCCGTTTGCTCGCCCGCTCCACTCCTGCAGCAGCGCTGCCGTCGGGCTGGGCTGCAGCACGGCCTGCTGGGAGTCTGGGTCTGAGTCCAGCTCAGAGGCGCCGTTCGGAGTCCCGTTGCTGTGTTTGGCCACCAAGTCCGTGAGGCCGAGGTTCATGGCCAGCAGGCACCAGTCTTTCCCCAGAGCGTCAGGGGGGTCCAACATGCGGCAGAGCTTCCTGCGAGCCAACAAGGGGACGTCCGATAAGTGGATGTCTGTTCCCAGAATCCCCTGCTGGTAAACTTCAGCGCAGCCAAAAGACAGGATGCTGCTGAAGCTCTCCCGGTAGCCACCCATGGTGTTGGTGAGGGAAGTTTCCCGCTGGACTTGGGCGCGGAAGAAATCTTTGGGTTGGTAGATCATGATGGGGGCGTGGTGTTCCCGCAGCTGCTGAGGACTCAGGTAGTATTTGGCTGTGAGCAGTCCGGGGAGCGTGGAGGCCAGTAGGTTCTCCGTTATACTGCAGATGGTGTCCAACAGGGTGTAGCACTTGGCCCGCTCTGAGTCGTGTCCACGCACCTGAATCTCCACCCCCTGGCCGTGGTTGACCAGCAGGATCATGGCCTCCACTGCGCCCTGGCTCACCTTGGCTCCGTTGGTCCACAGGTGGATATCTCCGTCGATATCCTCCCCGCCCTCCTCCTCTGGCTTCTGCTGGTGGCTCCAGCGACACAGGTTCACCTGCAGTTTGTGAAACAGGCCACAGGGGAAGGGAGTAAGGTGCTCGGCAGGGACAAGTCGTACCCCGCCGTAGATCAGCGACTCCTCCTCCTCCTCTTCGGTCCAGGAGCGGTGGAGGCCGTTTGTCTTGATGAGGGCTGGAACGTCCACCATGGAGGGGTTGGTGGCGTCGCGGGCGCAGACGTCCATGGCATCTAGAATCTGCAGCAGCTCGTCCACGTCGCTCTCCGGAGCCAGAGCCTGCACCTCCTCCAGCCTGTAGCGCCCCCTGTAGTGGTGGATGGCCTTGGGCGTCTCCACGGAGAGCAGCTTGCCGAGGACGTTGCTGCAGAGCCAGCGAGGCTCCAGCAGAACAACATCCTGCACCGTCTCGCTCTGCATGATGTTGATCTGAGGGCGGGGGGAGGAAGTAAAGGAGGTGACGGTGGTGAGGAAGCAAGAAGAAACGAAACAAGTAAGTTGACAGTAAAAATAAGTCAGAGAAGGTGAGAAGAAACAGGGTGAAATGAAGCAATGAGAGAGAAATAGGTGTGGATAAAAAAGAAGACGGGAAGATTCAGAGAAGTTAATTGCAGTGAAACATACTGACTTACATATAGAAAATACATTGTTGAAGATGCTGCAATTATAGTAAGATTATAGTAACATCAGACTTAATTTTAGACAAAATCAACAGCAAGCACATGAAGAAACACTTTTGAAACTCAGGTTGGTTCCACAGGTTCCTCATTCGGTTTCCTGAGAAGAGTCATTCTGGTAAATAAACAGAGAAACAACATGTTCCTGTTGCAGAATGGAAACTAAGATTTGGTTTAATTAATTCATGAAGAAACAGCGCATCCTGGTGGTAGTCTGGTGAGCTGACAGTCAGCTGCTGGAGTAAGTGATAAATGTTGATAAAAACCTTTGACTTTTCCTCACAGCGGCCGATATAAACAATACATCCCGTTAAAAAAAGATCAGTAACAGCAACAATAAGCAGCAGGAGCGCACCTCTTATTCTAAGTTATATTTTCTATTATGGTGATTTTCATCTGATCAAATACCACAAAACAGTCACCATATGTAACAGACCATCATTGTTTTACTGGAAACTGTTCCCTTCAGGTTCAGTGAATTCTCTAATGTAGAAAATTAAGACATATTGTACAACACAAATGTAAATTTGTATTCAAAATAACATAATACATCCCGCCTCTGTCAGGGACTCTTCTCATCTTGCTCCAGGCTGTTTAGCAGCTGAACGCACAAAGAAACAACATAAACCTGAATACACAGTTCACAACTGGAGACACTTTATAGGCCGTGTATGCTGCGTCTGGCAATTTTATTAATGCACTTTCCAAAACTTGGCACTCACTTGAACTTTCACATTTGGTTTTCACGGCAATGTTTTTTTTTTTTTTTTTTTGTGGTATCTTTGTTTGTAAATGTCATGTCAGTTTGTTAGCACCGTTATCTCCACACAAAGGCAAATAATTATTTTATAAACAAACAAACTCGCACCTCCCCCATGCTGTGAAGCTGCAGGGCCAGTGTGCGCAGGTGATCCTGGCTGACCAGAGGGTTGATGTGCTCCTGGACGTCGCTGACAAACTGCTGCCATGACGTTAGCTGGTTGGGTCCGCTCAGCTTCCTCCAGGTCGGCAGCGTGGTCAGCAAACGCTCCGACAACAGCATCATGGGACTACACCTCTACAACAGGAAGTGGATTCACTGTATGTTATCGTTTCTTAAGTTTAACTCAAATGAGAAATTACTTTCATCTGATTATTTTCATTAATGTTAAATCTGTAATCCGATAATAGAAAGCAGATTATTTTCAACCAAGTTCAGCAAGTATTTTGATAGAAATACTGTCAGATATTTATCTATAAGTTGTTTGTGTGCACGTGCTCTTTCAGGAAGGTTTAAAATACACACAACAATCAGGCTGGGAAACAGACACAGGAGAGAAAGCAGAGCTCACAGAGATGATGTTGGTGCGAAGTTCCTGCAGGTGACTCCTCAGCAGCTTCATGTCTTTGGAGTTTGAGGCTCCAGCGTCCACCACAAACAGTTTGTCACTGACCTGCAGGTCGTTCCCGAACCTGAAGACAAACAAAAAAAGAAGACAGCCATTTTAAAAAGATAAATCTCTTCAGGTGAAGGACCATGTCCCGTATATTGGAAAATAAACAGCAACCTGGTGGGAAATAGTGAAGTGCTACAGCTGACTGTTCAGTCTGACCCATCAAACAGGTGTCACTACCAATAATTACACTAATGACAGTGGTATCACTTTATGTAAAAGGATGTGGTGTGTAGTTCTCCACTGCAAATGTTGCTGAGGCTCATGGGTACTGTAGTATTTACAGCTATTTCATATAGGAAACACACAGAAAAAAAAAAAGATTTTTCAAACTTAGCTTTACCTGCTTTAAGTTATTACAGAATCAATGGGAGAGATGTCATGTGGTGAATAAGATCCTCCCACAAAAAAGAGCAAAAACAACAACAAAATAATCTCTGTATCAGCCATGTGTGCTGTGGTTTAAGTCCCGACCTGTTCCTGACTTCCTTGAGAAGAGCGCTCTCCTTGTCATAGCTGAACTCTCCAGAGAAAGCTCGGGGGACGTCAGCGAGGTCAGCGTGAGTCGCCACCAGGACGACCATGAGAGGCTGCTGGATCCGACCTCCGAAAGCTGGAGAAACACAGAACATATGTCACATTTTTACATACTACACATTATATTACATTGTTATCAGGACTTCCCAGGTGTATAAATCAATAATCCACTATCGCAGCACTTGTAGTTTACAGATGTATAATGTGTTCCAAACAAAAATGTTAGAAAAAATCTTTATCAACACACTTATAGATCAAATTTAAAACGTTTCTTTCTGAGGCGCCACTCCCTCAGTCCTCACCGATGTTGTCCTGGGGCAGGGTGAGGGCTTTCAGCAGGTTCAGCCAGTAGGTGATGTGGCCCAGCTGGGTCTCGTACGGCTCCTCCAGGCTGAACAGCACCAGATGGATCGCCGTGACGTCGTTGGCTGCAAAGTAGTCGTAGGAGCAATAATAGACCGGGTTCCCCGAAAACTCCCACACGCTGAAATCCCCCACACCTACAGAGAGGGGAACACGTGATAGGAGGTTTAACCATGAATGTTCACACATTAATAGAGGGCGGAGAAAATATTTTTTTTCAGTTTTGGTTAAATGTAAACGCCTCTGGTTCTCACCGTGGATGCTGGCGTGCTGGATGTCAATGGCCTTTGTGGCCTGGTCGTCAGCTGCGGACAGAGCGTTGTGGACGGGGGAGAAGACCTCCAGGACGCCTTTGGTGAGGCTGGGTTCAAACATCATGCTGCGACTCCGCACGCTCACGTTCTCACAGCCTGGGTACAAGTTGGAAATACTCACTGACACTAAAACACAGAGGAAAAGACACATGAGGAGGAGGTGATGGGAACTGTTCATTCTCATCTGCAGCAGGGCCATTACATTCAAATGATATCGGATATTTTTTAAATGTTTTGTGAAGCACTTTGATGATTTTTTTGAAGTTGGCGTGGTATATAAATAGATTTTATTAGTATTACATTAATGTTGTTGTAAGTATCTGTGATTTAGTGCATCTTTACTTAAGGCGTTTTTCCACTCTTTGCCCAGAATCGCAAGAAAATGTTCAAATAAAAAAAATAAAATAATAGCTATAGTGTGTTTTAGGTGTTGTTAGTTAATAGTTGAAAACGTGTTATAAAGGCGAGGACCATGTTGTTTTTCTGCTCTGTCTTTCAGGAGAAACTGCACATATCTGATTATAAATTGCATCTGTCCGTCCTCTGCTGCCCTCCTGGACACGAGTGTTTAGGAGAGTTCTTCCTTCAAATCTGAATCGACGGTCTAAGGACGGAGGACGTTGTATGTTGTACAGATTCTAAGCTTCTTGAGCCAAATTTGTGATTTTGAGCTGGATAAATAAAACTGACTTGCTTTGTTTAGAGCAAAATACAACAAGAATGAGGCATAACTTCTACCTGCAAAACTCTGCACAGCAGCTGCTGAAAATATAAATTCTGAACCGATTGAATAAAATGTAAATATAAATTGTTCCCATGTGTCATGTATCTTGATGAACAGTTGAATATTTAAATATTACAGTGCAGATCTGTACAGAGAGCTGAGCTCAAGTCTGTGAACAGTGAACAGATGTGCATCCGAAGCCTTTTTTACACCCAATAATTACACACTTGCAAACACATGGGGGTGCTGTGCTACATCAAATAAATCCACTATGCAGACACAACATCTGGATTTTCTCGACACTCTGTAGGACCACACCTACAGATTATTTTCTTTCATCTTGAATCACACTTTTGTCGACTAGAATGTGGAGCCATTGGCGAGAGAACCATTCCAGCCTGCAGTGTGCAAATGTCTTGGTATTGTCAAATGTCAAATGTCTTTTGTTTTGTTTTAATGTGGATTTATTTTTGTTTTTCTCTTTCTATTGATCCTTCATGAGCTGTGTCCTTAATAAAAAAACATTTCTGGGTTATCTGTCATTATACAAAGTTAAGCATTTTGGCAATGAATTGTGTTGAGAAAGCTTTGGCTGTCTCATGTTGAAATCCAACAGCAAAGTGTTCTGCTTTCCTGCAGCTGGTTGTTTTCTCAGTCCTAATCAATCATGGAGTTTTGTACTGAACCAAACAAACAAAACTAAAAGAGAACACTTGGTTGAGTTGAAGTGTTTCATGTGTGCTTGGTGTGAATACACCCTGTGAAAAAGCACCTACAAAAGTAAGCTGAAGGTGAATTTGTGCTGTTTACTTAAGAGACATTACGCAAGATATTCAGCTGCTTGTAGTTTTAGGAGTGATAATGGCAGAAACGACGGCAGAAGACCTCACGAACTCAAAATATTTGTTGCAGATAAATCACATTTTCTTTTACTCTGATGACTTTAACTTTTATTGAGTGATTCACGTAAAAACACAAAACAATGAAAAAATATCAACTAAAACAAGACACTGTGGTCACTGTGCCAGCCTCTCACTTGTTGCTTTCAGACATCTTTGGAAAAGGGTGAGAAAAATGTTATGGTACATGAAAAACTGCTGCCATATTTTTTCTGGTTTTAGGTCAGACAGCTTCTTTTTTTTTTTTTTTTAAATACCAACAGCTGCTGTAGGGTCGGACTTCAGATATACTCTTATGTCTGTGTCTTAAAAGAAAGGGTGATTCATAAATGAATCATAAATAATAAATGGAACCTTAGACTGAATTCTAGTAAAGCACAACCTCTCTTCAGTGCTGTTCTGTGCCATTTTACAAATTACTAAAGGGAATGGATGAAGGAAGATCAGTCCCTCTCCAATAACTGAGGCACAGAACTCAACTACTGAGAACAACCAAGGCCAGAAATCAATACACAGAGCAGAATTATTCCAGGTGTCAAACTGAGCTTTGTATCTAACAGCATCATAAAGTTACAAATATTGACACTAGACGAAGGTAAATATGCATTCAACGTGCCACATTTGGACTTTCAACGAGCTCATAGAAGTAGAAAATCAATGCTTGTATTAAGTCTGCTTGAATGGAAATCTCAAAACGAGACAAATGGACACGGCGGCACTCGCTCCCTCTCAGCCCTGTTTCTCTGTGTCTCACTGAGGACTCACATCACGTATCACTGCAGTTATAACACCAAGTCAATAAAGACGGTCACCGAATTCAGCTAGAGACGCAACAAAGAAAGAGAAAAAACTCTTTCTACGCCCCCTTCAGCTCTGACAGAGGCCACAGATTTCCAGATAGTATAGAGGATGGGATCAGTAACTCTATACAGCTCACGTAAACGACCATTATCTGAGGGAACATCGAGTCTGCCCGGGAGGTAATGGCTCTGAGCGCTGCAACACAGAGCGGTTAAAGGACACACAATGGTAGGTATGTATGTGTGTGTGTGAGGGAGGGCAGATAGAGCAAATACAGAGAAACGAGTGTGTGAGTGTGTGCTGGTGTGTGTTTTTTTACACTACCCTGAACATGTCAGGGAGTTTTACCACAGACCTGTTGCTAAACAAAAGCTTTTCTGAAGACCAGGAGCAGCAACTGTTACTACACTAAGCTTCCAGTTGGGGTTGCTGGAGTGATGGGGTTAATATTTAGGGTTACTGGGACTGCGGTTAAGGGTTGCATGTTTTTGTTTGTAGAAAACTAAGACAACCTGATCTGTGTCATGTCTGCATACTGCGACATATTTCAGTTTTTACTTACTTTGTACAATTTAAGGTTTTTCACTGGCCCTGTTTAAATTTAAATAAAAAGTGGAAAAATGTGGGTGACCGACTGTTATTGCTTGAAATATTATGCAGCTAATTACAAAAACTCCCTTTTTGATATTGTGCAAATGATGTGAAATGTAATAACTTAATGTGGGAGAGCTGGGTGGAGGAAGAAGAGCTACGGGGAGGATGATGGTAAGCTGCCATTTGAACATGAGCGGTGGTCTGATCAACCTCAGCTGGGTCACATGGCGGAGACTGAAAGACCCGAAGCACCTGATGACTGAATATTCACTGATGATGTGCTCGGCATCAGTGGACGTATTTGTACATCAGGGGTATTTCATTCATTGGATTGTGTTCACCAAAAACAAAGAAAACTTATCTTGTAATTATGATTTACCATCTCACAATTAGTGTTGTTCGTAATTACTGGATCCCATTTCGTGTGATTATGAGATTGTTTTCTTACAATTATGAGACAGTCATCTATAATGAGATAAAGCCTCAATTTATTTTTTTGGTGAATGTAATGAAAATAAACAAACAAACAAAAAAATATGCCCCATTCCCATTATTATTTATTTTTATTTTTTTAGATGTGTCTCAATTGAATTTCCAGAAAATGCGCTTGTTCACAATAAATACTATAAATATAAATAATTCACATATACAGTATATATAAAACATATATAAACTTATACATATTTAATGCATATAGCTAAGCCATGATTCAGGTCAAAGCGGGTCAGATCCTGCACTGCCATCCATCCTTCATACTGTGGCAGCTCCATCAGGACAGCGTGAAGCTAAGTGCCTTGCTCGTGGGCACTCTCACAGATTCTACTCTGGGAAGGAAACGGCCTCTTTTCATGCTCCTTAAACATTTACTCCTGGTGAATTTATTTATTTTTTTTTTTATCTTTGATGGATAGCAAAAAATAAATAAAAATAACAGGCGTTTGATTGGCTGCTTGTTTTGTTGGCTTCACAAAAACAGGAAAGCTGTTGCATGAACCTGAAGAATGATGAATGAAGGGGAACAAGCATTGAATTAATTCTGTTGCTATGTATTAACGTGACTGGCAAGTGAATTATTCTGGCCTGCTTTTGCTAGAATAAATAATTGTGGTGCTTGGCAGGTGAGCTGGAGGCTTAATCTTGCGCAGGATTATCACAGCGTCCTCAGATCTTTGTGTTACCTACCGGAAGGTTTGGAGTTGATGGGGGAGTTGGGGTGTCGGGCCGTGTTGGTCATGCGTGTCCTCCTCCTCCTGAAGAAGCTGCGCAGGATGCCACATTTCAGGGACTCCAGCAGGGTGCTCTTCCCAGCTCCAGAGTGTCCAAACAGCTTCAGCTTGATCCTGGGCTGCAGGGTCTGAGTGGGCCGCAGCTGCTGGATGTAGCTCAGTTTGTGGTTGTCCTGGAAATAAAAAAACAAACAAAAAAAAGGTCACATTGAGAAACTCATTTATCAACTGTGTGGCATCGACTCCCACACGTTTTCATTTCAAGGAGCAGATGCCAGAATTTATGCCAGAGTTTGTTTCCACATGCTGCATCTTCTTTCTCTGAAACTTCCAAACACACCGGATATCACAGAGCTTTAACAACACCTCCTATTTCACGTTTGTATCCATGTCAACCACCAACAGTGAACAAACAGCTGTGTAACGTTTTCCTCCTTATGCACCATGAACAGATCTCCTGCTTCTGAGGAGGACAGACAGTAGACGTCTTTCCGAATCAAACCGTCACAGGATCATGTAAATATTACATCACAGGTTTCTAACTTCTGTTTTTATACTAATGTTATTAGTACCAACCAACTGATGAGGGTGGGGATATCATAAAGTAAATAAATGTTAGGCTTATTTAGATATTATAACACGAGCAGCTGTGGGTGGGGATGAGCTGATAACCTTGTGTAACGATGACACTTTAGCACAAACTCAGCCTTCGGTGTTGGGGGCATGACAGGATGTGATAAGAAGAACTACGAACCCGCACCAAGTTCAAGGTAACTGAAACTTCAAGACAAACTACTGAATACTTGCTGAGATAAAAGAAATAAAAACATAGCATGTTGTTCACTCAAGATACATGAACAACGAAAGCCACTTGCAAAGACAGGTGCCTCCTCTGCACCCTGCTGTAATTCAGCCAGTTCAACACATAACATTTATTAACATGTAAGACACTTTTTTCACCATGCAACAGATGAGTCACGCACCAGAAGTGGCCTCAAATGCTGTGAGTGGTTGTGTGGGATGTGAAAGCACTCCAGACTCCCACCTGGGTTATGTTAACGCATTCAATAAATAAAGTTTGTAATTTCAATAAGTGTGATTCACATCCGAGCAGAACGCATTTCATTTTGAAATAAATTTTGTTGAACTTAATGTGTTCTCTTTTAAAGTCAGAGGAACGGGGCTGCATCTTATTTCTCTGGGTTCTTGGGAAGTCGGCCTCGCTTTCAAATCTGGCATCAGTGTGCCATAGTGTCTTAAATTAGCCCAGCATATGCAGAGGATGACTGTTTTCACAGTTGCGGCTTTCATGTTTTCACGCTCTGCACTGAATCTCAGCAGGTGGTGGATTAGAGGAGAAGTCGGTAACATTTAGCTCCAGGTAAAAAAAAAAAAAAAAGTCTGTGTGTTTTGGAGGATGTGACTTTAGTTTAGACTGGGAACACCAGACTGAGCTCCACATGCACCTCTGGAGGGAAGAGTGTACAAATGTCATGTAACCGGAGGGTTTCAGCTTTGATCACAGTGGTATGTGTCCTGTTCTATTAAAGAGCCTTTGGGCAAGACAGCAAGCCCAACAGCTTCACTCTATACTCTCTTGCATTTAAAGTCGCTCTGGATTAAGTGTTCGGACAGTTTCGCTTTTCTTGTTCTTCAGGCTCTGCGCTTCAGCACATTTAATCTGAAATAAAATAATGGATACTACATCAAAATGCCAAGTTTCAGCGTAATGTTTATGCGAGTGAAGAGCACAATAATGACGCCAACGATCCAGTCGACTGAGAAGCACAACGCTTGTGGGAAACCCATTTATTACTGCAACAGAAGGTCAAGAACACTCTCCAGGATGTAGACGGACACGTTTAATTGTCAAAGATCAAAAGAAGACCTTCTGAGCAGAACCTAAGAGGTTTCACTACAAGATGCAAACCTCTGGTAAACCTCAGACACAGAAAGACCAGGCTGCCGTTCATAAAAAAACCAAAAATAAAGTGGTAGAGTTCTGGAAAAAAGGTTTATGGACAAAAATCTGCCTCTATCAAAATGATATAAAGAGGAACGGCTCATGACCCAAAGCCACTAACTCATCTGTCAAACACGGAGATGCTTCTGTTACGGCCCAGGCATTTATGGCTCCAACTGAACTGACACGGTGACATTTATTGACGATTTCATTGCTGATGGAAGCAACAGGATGACTGCAGGGGTCTACAGGAGCATTCGGTGTGAGCTCAGATTCAGACAAATGCAGCATGCAGACATCTCAAAACTCATCGGACAACATTTCATAACACAGCGGGACGATGAACTTCAACATACAGACCAACCAACCAAAGAGTTTGTCAGGGTCGAGTCAATCACCTGATCTCAATCAGACCCGAGCTGCATTCTTCTAACTGAAGACCAGACTGAAGAAGAGAGAGACTTCACAGAAGTGAGCTGTTGTATGTTGTGATTACTTTTAAACCCCTAAACTTGTGACACTATGTGTTAAAGGGTTTTATCTCCCACACAGTCACTGTACTCAAATTAAAGCTGAGACGTGGCACTTTAATGTAGTATCCATTGAAGCACAGAGTCTGAAGAACAAAAATGTGAAACTTTCCGAATACTTACGGTCCGGACTGTATTTCTTCTTTCTGTAAGTCTTGTAAGGCTTTAAAACATATTTGTAATGTACTATAAGCTTCTATCATTTAGTGATTCAAAGCAAACTGCAGCTCAAAACAGACACGGAAGATTAGTAGCTGCTCCTCAGGATTTAAAAAAACTTTTATCATCCATTTCCACCTGTATGTATGTGTGTGTGTGTGTGTGTGTGTGTGGAAAGTGCTGCGACACAAAGTCTAAAAGCGGCGGCGTGCTAACATCTAACACATTCCTGCTGGAAAACGTCTCTCTCCACACCTCTGCACTGAAATAGACCATGTGAGATGAGTGTTTGTGAAACCTGCTTTTACATAACACAGAGTTTAGGTCTTTTCTTTTCCCTTTATTCCATTTAAACTGTGATGTTGTGAAGAAATCACTGATTTAATTAACATACTGATAAACTCAAGCTTTTTTTTTTTTTTTTTTTTACCTTTTTAAGCTTACCCAGCAAAGAAACAATGTGTTCGTGTTGATCAGTAGAAGCCAAATCCTCCGCTGTCTTTCCATCCTGAGAGAAGAAGGAAAAAAAGAGAGGGATGAATATATGCATGAGCAAACAGATAATCCCTCATATTTCCTTCAGCTGTTTAAATGTGCACTCCAGTGTTTCTAATACACTTTGTTGTTGACTTTGTATTTAAGAGGCTAAACTTCTCACAGGTTTATAGAGCGTTGCTCATTAACAGAGGGATATAGGCAGCACTGATGGAGTGGCTTCTACACATCATGCTATCATACTCCTACTACTGTTTCATCAGCCTGTCACACAGGCTTTTGTTTACTTGTTTATCTATAGGGTTCATTTCACATTAATTAGCATTTAACATTTAACAACACCAGTGTAAATGTACCTGGGTTAGCTCAGGAGCTAATTCACACCTGAAGTCCCAACAAAGGTGAAGTTTATAATTTCACACTTTGGCTCCATGTTCATTTCCAGCAGATTCAGTTTGTGCATTACTGAATATTTTTTGTAATGATGTTATTCTTAATATTTGTTACTGGAGTTAACTTTAAAATTTGCTGTTCATGTTGTTATTTGCAAGTTTGGTAAAATGTCCTGTAGTGCTGCAACGAACCGTCAATTAATTGATTAGTTGATCGACAGATAATTAACTATAAACTATGCTACTCAAATGATCATTTTAGTCATTTTTAGAGTAAAAGTGAAAAACATATGATGGTTCCAGCTTCTCAGATGTGAAGATGAGACAGTGACTGAATGTCTTTTGTCAGACAAAACGTGACATTTAAAGATGTCACTTCAAGCTGTGGGAAATTATAACAGGCATTTTTCACTATTTACTGACATTTTATAGACAAAACAATCCAAGAAAATAATCAGCAGATTAATCAATAATGAAAATGATTATTAATTGCAGCCCTTACGACCTGCTCAAGACATATCTTGGTCATGATTTTTTGATGAACAAAGTGAAGGGCTCCTCATGAAAAATGTTTGTTTATGTTTAAGACACAACAACAAAAAAACATATATTAGACTATATATTTTGCTTTTTTTAAATTTTGATATCAGTATCAGACGTGAAAATCCAGTATCATCACTGAATTGATCTGATATTTCTGCTGCACACAACTCATTAAAGCACTGCAGTATCACAGCTGACTCCAGTAACTGACTGCAGCTGCAGAGTCTGAACGCGCACACACACACACGCGCACACACACACACACACACACACTTACAGTACGTGCACGCTCATTCTTTCCCTCCTTCCAGCTCCAGAACTGCCTTCATTTGTCACTCTCTCCATTTTGTCCTCAACACCCTGACACAGAAACACCACAGTCCCGACAACTCTCACGTCTCTTTCCCTAACTCAGCCATCTGTCACTGTCCGGCTCCGGCTGCTGTTCCTTGGGGGAAAAACTGCACTGACAGCCTGAAACGCCCACAGACCACTTCCTACTTCTACAGACCTTTACAGCAAAGGATATTCAGCTGGGTATGTTGAGTGTTTTATCCAGAAAAATCAATTACGAGAATCTACTCTTTTAATCTGAATCCTTGAACATTTTCCAGCTCGATAAGCTTCTGATAAGGTCACTTAATACTAAAGGAGCACAAGAACACACAGACCTTCAAGTTGTTTGGATCAGATAAATGTCAGAAATGTGAAAATGAAGTGCAGCTTGAACCACAAACTGACCACTTAGTGTAATTTAATATGTGAACAAATTCATGAGACTCTGTTGGTACAGATGGCAGGGTGTCACGGTTAATACTACTGATGCTTGGCAGCGACACATGAACGGCTGGTGTTATGTCTCGACACAAAACTGGAGATGAATATTGGATCACACATAGTATCTCCTTTTTAGTTAAAATATCTGAGCAGTTTGTCCATGAGTGTGTTTTTTAATTATATGTAAAGCAGAGCATCAAGGGAAACTGAAGAAAGAGGGGTGATGACATGCAGCTGCTCCACAAAACAGTGACTGCAGGCCACTGGACAATGAATTATACATCTCCGTATGTGCTTTCCAGATTAAACATGCATACAGAGGAACATCAGCGGGCATTCAATATTAACAGCTAGAGAAAACAGAGGGAGAAGGAGAAACCTCAGCGTGGCACATGTGGCAGTGGAGCCGCTGGGAAAGGTTTTAATTCTTAATGTTAGTTACAGACCTTCTTATATCTGATGTCTGATTTAATGCAGATGAAATACGTATTTAGTCAAGCATCTTCAGTAACAGAGCAATAAGCTTAGAAGCGATGAACGATGGGTTTTGTGGCTTAACTCTTTTCTAAAAGTTGAGTTAAATGCTCAAGAATCCAGATTCCCAAGATGTGATGGGAATATTTTCATGCCCACTATATATATATATACACATACACAAAACAACGGGTACTGAACAGAAAAACTTAAAATCAAGAACATGAAGTAAACTGAAGTAAAGCAGAGGCAACTGTGACGGCTCGACCATGTGATTCAGATAGAAGCAGATCACTTCCTGAAGGTTGTCGCACTAAGATAAGTAAGACAAGTCCTTCGGGCAAAGATGACCTGACGCAGAACCGTGACAGAAAAAACTCCTGCTGCCAAGATGAACTTAACTTTTGGGGCGACTCAATATGTTGCCAAAGATAAGGAACAATCCCAGGAGCTTTGTGGCCTCATCTCCCATGTAGTATGAAGGAAATTAAGTAATAATGGATCAGTTATGCAGAGGACGTCAAGTGACACATTTGGCAGATATCAAAGCTTTCCAAATGCAGACTCTAAGTCTTGCTAAGACTTTCTATTCTTGATTTAGGAACCTTCACCCACTCTTCAAGTTAGGAGATATTTTAGGCTGTCGTGAACACAGCATGTTTAAAATCTATCCACAGATTTTCAGTGAGGACTGCTCCAAAGCTTCAGCTTGTATTTTTTTGAGCTGGTTCACGGTGGATGTTGAGGTCTGCTCTGGATCATTGTCCCGTTGTAAAGGCCAGCTTCTTTTCAGTTTCAGCTTCTCGACTGACTGCAGGACATCTGCATCTTGCATTTGCAGATATTTAGTGGACTCCATTCTTCTCAAGGGAAGGTTACTGTTCATTGATTTAGCAGGGTGGCCAGATTTTTCCACATGCCTCAGCTTCTGTTTAAGCTTTTATATTTTTCAAATTCATGAAATAAAAAGAAGCATTTACAGTATTAATGTTTGAAGGAAGGCTCATCTTTATGTCTGTTTGCTACATGAGTATTCACTTCTTTTCACTTTAAAAACCAATAAAATATGTAATATGCCCAACCCTTTAAAACAAACTTCTATCATATATCTGAAGATGTGTTTGACTTGAGAAGCTTTAGTTGATTTTACAGATGAAAAATTACACTTTTATACCATTAGCATTTCAAACAAGACTCCAAGTGCCTCGTGGGTTCAAACCTAATATACAAAACAATTTAGTGAAAAGAAAAAAAGCACTTTCACTGTCAATAAAGTGCTTCAGTTCAGTTCCACTCTTAGTTAAAGATAAAATACCTCTATATGTTGGGCAGAAGAATAAAAACAAGAACAACGCAAACAACAAAGAAAACAAAAAACTATGATCTTTCTGCTAACTGAATGTGGGTAAAAGTCCGTCGTGATTCGGAGGTTGCCAGCTTAGAAAAGCCTGGAGAAATATCCACTGACAGATCTGAGGTTTTGATCACAGCTTCTTCTTACAAGATGCAAGATGCAGCTACATTTTTGTGTGCAGCCTCTAAAGATCGTTGTACGTGGACTCCCACCCATCTGTGAGGTCAAACACACTCACATCCAGATAAAATGACTGACTCTGGTCTCTGACTCCTCGTACCAAGTCTGCTCTTGATAAAAGCTCTTAGCCTGCGGCTGGTGGAGCCGTCAACATCTTACCTGCTGTTCACACTCTGCAGAAACAACTTTCTTTGAGACACTTGAGCAATGATTATGTTGGTTTTTTTTATGACTTACAACTTACTCACTACTTCGCGGTACGTTTTAACCAAGAAACCATGCCAACCTTGCATGGTTGTTTGTGGTGTGAATTCAGTTTCTGTCATTTAATACAAAATTCATAAACATATACAGACGTATAATGAGAAGATATAATCTAAAATATATGTTCTGAAATTAAACTGCAAGAACTATTTATTCAACTACAGTTCAGCTGAACATGTAAAAATGTGAAGATTGCCTCAGGTAGGAAGAAAAATTCAGCATATCCGGAGTTTAAGAAAATAAATGAATGATAAATATATATTTACTTGGACTGAAATCGAGCAGTTCTTTCTGTGAAGTTCTTCTAGAAATCAGCAAACACTTATAAACTCTCTTTAGCCCATAATTAGAACTGAGTTATATGCATATTTTTTTTACTTATTAGGAAATTATCAGAAAATAATCAGAAAATTACGTTTTTATTTCCTAGTCATACAGTACTGGGAAAATTGTCTCACTCTTTATTTTCATAATAAATATTTTATGTTTACTTTATGTGAGATTAAACCTTCTTAATTTTATTTTTTTTTAAATGTTATATTTTACATTTCATTTGTAAACTGCATTTTGATTTATAATGGCGATGCCAAAGCTTTCAGATATTTCAGATATACAGGAATAGAACAACAACAACTTTTAATTTGATTTGATGGTGAAGCCACAAAAATGCCACCTTGGGTTTGAACATTTCAGCCCCCATAAGAATGAACGAATGAACGAATGAACGAATGAACGAATGGACGAAACATAGCTTGAAAGAAATGATCAAACAAGCAGATACAGACTCTAAATGGGACGGGACGATGTTACAGTGTGAAGCAAATGGGTGTTTAACTTTGACGCTACTTAAAAGGGAAACTTCAGGGTTCAAGAGGTTAAATAAATTTCAATAATAAAAAGGAGGAAACACATTAAGATTTTTAAGCTTTAAACCCACAGAGGCAGAGATAAAAAAAGGTGGTGCAGCTCAGTATCAGGAGGGAAGTTTCATAATGAATTTCTGCAGATTAAATCCTGTTCGAGTTAAAAAGCTGCCATCAGCTTTTCTACTTTAATTCAACGTGTGTGTGAGAGAAGTGAGCAGCGACTTACTCTGCAGCTCAGGTGGAAAATGAAAAACTCGCCATACAAATAAGCCATTATTATAACAAATAGAGGCTGAGATCTTTTCAGTTTGTATATTATATGAGCTATGTCATGTATGTTATTCATGCATTTCAGTGAACCTTGGCGATATCCTTCAGGAGATACATGCGGTGCAATGTGTCATGGTGGCAAATCCGCTATACATGCCAATGCATTCAGCTCCACTATCACAATATGTGAAGCTACTGCTGCTGTAAAGTGAAGGGAAACAGTGAAAAGAAGAAACCCGTGTGGTGACTTACGTTGGTGACGGCGTCGATGTTGGCTCCGGCCAGGCAGAGGTGACGAACCACCTCGAGGCTCCCGTTGTTAGCAGCCAGGTGGAGGGGAGTTCTGCCATACTGGATAAAAAGACAAGAAGAAGAAAGAGATTTCAGTCAGTGACAGGTGATGAAAAGCATCCACAAAGTACTGGATGTGGTAAGTGAGTCAGGAGAAGCTGGATTATTGAAGGCTGGATACTATTAAACAAAAGTGGATGCAAAGGCTCAAGTACTTTCTGCCTCTGCGTGCCTGCGAAGGTCTGCATGAAGGACCCTCACAGATACAGATACATGGATATAAAGTATGATTTGGGCTGATCTCCAGCCCTGAACATGAACAATGGGTGTGCACACACTTCTGTTTATACCACGCTGTGTCAGCATACATGGATGTGTTCACACGTTTGTCAGCGTATACTAAACATATATCCTCACAGAAATAGGAAGATGAAAAAACTCTCACAGCTGTGCAGATGTGGAAATTATAACTTGTGCTTAAAGCTACAGTCATTTCTCCTGAGCCAAACTGCCCTGCACCTGCCCTTTAAAATTTTGATTTCAAGGGGCTGATGCAGGCAGTAAATAAATATTGGGAGCAATTGTAAACTGTCAACAGTGTTTGAGAGCGATGCTACAGTTTATAGTCTGGTAGCGTGATATAGTACTCAATTTCCAAATAAAAAAAACAATGCATCAGTGTTCAAATTGGCTGACTGTGCACATCGGCTCATTCAAAGATGAACAAAGGTGAACGGCTGCAGATTGCAGGCATCAGTAGAAGTGAAATAGGAGACAGGGTGAATATTTGCATAATATGGAATATGGATAAGCAGCAAAAAAAAATGGCTGAATGGTCAATCATAGTGGTTAGAAATATCAGAAATATCCTGACCACCTCCATCAAGCAGCTAACCATATTAAAAAACACCATGACCAAGAGTATGGCTTTAAGACACCAACGACTGTTCTTTCAGTCCCGTGAAACACATGATGTCTCGACTCAGCACCCACATGGTCGTGCCTCAGTTGATTGCCTGGCTACTGTTAGCATAGCGTAGCCGTTGGCATTGATGGACAAGGGGTCTACTCGCGGGTCTTGCCGTCATTGCCCTGCCTGTTTGACTGGTAGAAGGGTGCTCTGTGGTGAGGCCAAGAAGAATAAAACTGGTTATGAAAGCATGAAAACAAGTGCAGTTACTATAATTATAGTAGCGTGTTGTTATTCCTTTAACAGCTTTTTTTCCCCTCTTCTTCTTAGACACACTGGAACACACCAAAAAACATCCATAAGATAAAAGAAAAGCTTTGGGAAATATCAATAACCACGACAGAATGAGCGTCCTTGAAAGCAGCATTTCAATCAATTCCTGTTTGTCACAACTTGAAGAAACAAGGAAGCATTCATCCTGTTTGAATCTGTTGTAAACAAAACAGGAAACATTTTCAAATCCAAACCACCCCGCCCCAGAGCCTACAGCCGACAGCGAAGACAAATCCAGGCACAGACTCAGCAATGTGTGATATGCTGCTTCAGATAAGCTTTTAAAAAAAAACAAAAAAAAAAAAAAACAAGCAGAAATGGAAAATAATGAATAAATCACAGCATCTCTGGCAGTGCTGTCTGCCTCTGATGCACATCACTTCCCTGAACTACGACGGGAAAAAAATGTTTCCGTATGCAAAAAAAAAAAAATGGACGGTGTCAAAATAGAATGTGAAATCATAAACGGGAGAAACATGTGGGAAGTCGCACCCTGCAAACCTTCAGCCAATATATAAACCAGGTGTGTGAGATCTCCATTAAAGGACACATTTCCATTGCCAGCAGATATCAGAATAAAGACCATTTCCTGGACATAGTGAATTAAAACTGATGTTAAAAGTCAGCTGAAATGAGCTCTCAATTTAAACTACTACCACAATAGGTACATCTATATTAAATATTTTTAGGAGCGATATACTGAATGCCAGATTCAGATTCATGAGCCAAGTCTAGATTAGATTGGATCACACAGTCAAAATCCTCACGCTGCCTGTATTTACACTTACAGAAATCCTTTAAATCCCTGTAATAGGTTTTGCTCTCCGTTTATTTATCGTCTCTGTTTGGCCCGTGATTTGCCCTAGTTTAGCTTGGATGAAACAGCTACACTACATGGTCAAAAGTATATGGACACTTGAGCCATATTTAGCTGTTATGCCAACTTTTTTTTTTTCTACAGCACGGGCAGCTGCAACAGGCTTCACTCTTTTTGAGAAGGCCTTTCACGAGATGTTGGAGCCCGTTTGCAGGAATTCGCTCCCATTCAGACACAAGAGCAAAGGTGTTGGATTGGGTTGAGGGCAGGACTCTGTGCAGACCAGTGAAGTTCTTCTGCACCAAACTGGGAAAGACGTGACTTTGTGTGCAGAGACATGATGAAATAAGAAAAGTTAGAGGCAAAACTATGGTCTGAAATATCACCGTATGTAACTGTTAAAAGTCCATCAAGGTGGTGTGATGGGTTTACATAATGCTGCCATCTGAAAAACAATAGCTGTGTTTGGATTATGTAAGATGAGTGTCAAAACTGCTCATAGTGCAACCAGGAACATTTTAATACAAGGACACGTTATTCAAATGTTACTGGCGTCATGACAGTTCTCAGAAATTAACATCTGAATATCGTAAATGCAAATAACCCACACAAATACATACGCTTGAAGAGAGAGAGAATATTCTGCATGTGACTCAGAAAATCAATCCTTTGGGTTCTTAATGCCACTTTGGTACCATTTCAGTACAGTATTTGCTAATTTGCCAACACAAAAAAAAAAAGTTCAGTTCAGTTCAGTGGACTCAGGATGACCCGAGGATCCCCCTGGAGGAGCTGGAAAAACAGTAATACGATAATGGTAGAGTAACAGGGTTGGTGGTTTATCTCATGATTTCTCCTGTCAACGTGTGGAAGTGTCCCTGAGAAAGACTCTCAACTGAACATTGGCTAAGACTCAGCACCATCTGGCACGGTGCTGTACTGGCCAATGATGCGAGGGCACGTTCCCTGAAAGATTTCTTTGTAATCTGAACTCTGTGTTTCTACCGTTTACCTCATGATTGTCATAACAAATTGGTGCTGCGATCAATTTCAACAGTTAAAATCCTAAAATAAAATCCTGTCTGTGAGTAAAACAAACTGTTGCGCTGTGTTCTGGTGTCTGATAAGCCTTTAATTAAACCCGATTGACTTCTTCGATTGTATTTCATTGTCTTACCAGTCCCTTAAAAAACAAAAACACAGCTCCTTGTGCTGTTTCAAAAATACCAGTCAAGTATCTCTGAAGTTGTATCGCTGCTGTTACGCTGAAAGGGAATGGGTGTGGTGGGAAGTGGTTGTCCTCACCTTGTTGGGGAGGTCGAGGCTGGCCTTTGCGCTGCAGATCGCCATGACGATGGGCAGGTTTCCGTCCTTACACGCGATGTGCAGCGGCGTGTTGCCATGGCGATCCTGCTGGTCCAGGTGGCAGTGGTGTCTGAGGAGGCAGCGGACCACTTCAACCTGACACCTCCGTACGGCCAGGTGCAAGGCTGTGTGGCCGTCCTGGAGACGCACACGCACGCACGCACGCACGCACACACACACAGACAGACACACACACAGACAGACACACACACAGACAGACACACACACAGACAGACACAGACGCAGCACAACTGATGAATATCCAGCCTTAACACTGCAGATTCAACACGCTGTTTTATCAGACTGCGACCCACAGGGGTGAATGATGTGCTTCGGTTACTTTTTAAACGTATTGTCTTTTTTATTGGTTCTGTTCAAGGAGCATCACTTGTGCGTCTTATCAGAGAATCCATTTGTTCTAATTAGGTTTCTGTCTTTTAACTTTAATCTGGGCTGGTTCCCTGAGGCCATAATGTCAGTGCAATTACCGCAGTCTTTCCCTGGTTCGTTCTGATCTGTCAGACGTGTTATTCTCAACTGTTTTTGGTTGTGTGATGGTGACCACCCTCTGAGGATTAATAAAGTCATCTATCTTTTTATCTTAGAGGTGCATTGGGAACAACCACATGGGAGGCAACCCTGACCCAGAAGTGCTGAGAATCCCCAGAAGCATCTGGTAAAATGACAGATGGACTTCTGAATATGCGCTTAGATTTAGTCAACTCATCTTTCTGTCTCACGCAGCATCAATAAACCCTGCGTTGTCATTGAACACTGTATGTTGTACTGAAAATGTTCAGAGTCAAACTTGACGCTACTCAGAGGCTACAGCTCAAAAGTGGCTCACTTTCTGGGAATAATTTGGGATTTAGTTGACATTCAGATTGAGAAGAGTCAGAGGTAAGAAAAGTTAGATGTGTGTTTGTTATGTTGAGGGTTAGTGTTAGTGTTAGTGAGTGTTTCTGAGCTTTAGCGGTCGGGGCTTATCACCTTGTCAGTCGCTTCCATATCGGCCTTGTGTTCCACCAGGCACTCCACGATGTCCACAAAGCCCCGAGCAGATGCTGTCAGCAGCGGACTCTCGCCCTCGCGGTTCTTCGCGTCCACATGGCAGCCTGTCTGGCAGAGTGCCCGGGCTACTGCCGAGTATCCATGCCAGGCAGCGCAATGCAGCGGGGTCTCCTGCTCCTGGATGTGGAAACATAGAACGTAAAAGAATAAAACCTGCGCACTTCGGTTGAAGCAAAGGTCTCACTGATAACAGCTCGGTAATTTTTTCTGCACGTGCTTACCCTGTCAGACAGGTCTGGGTTGGCCCGGATGCTGCACAGGTAGCTCACCACGTCCACGTTGCCATAGCGAGCCGCCACATGAAGAGCTGTCTCTCCAGACTGCAGGAAAAGTGCAACAGAAGGAAAAGCAGAACATCATGATGCTAACTGCTCAGCATTTCAAAAGAAAGTAGTTTATTTACTGCAGTTTAAATTAAACCACAACATGCTGTTCTGCAAATAAATGAGTACATATGAAGGAAAAGATTATAGTACTAGATTATAGCCATTTCCTCTGAGTTAACAACTTTCCATAAGCTTCCACTTAAACAAGACTGTTATATTTTACAGTCCTGCGCATTGCAGACATTGGGCTCATTAGAAATCGAACCATCAGCTCTAACATTATGGCTGCCAGTCAGAGCAGAAGCTGCTTACGTGAAACGACACCCAAGACGCGGTGTTCGCTTGTAAGTGGGAAAGTTTAGCGCTTAAAATAACATCTAATGGATTTATGTTGGGGGGGGCTTTAGAGATCTATTCAATTAGAGGGATTATATAAAAACACAGGAGAGAGGAAGGATTCACCTCGGTAAAAAAAAAAAAAGAAAAGTGTTATGGCTTATTTAGATACACACAGACGCCTCAGCTTGTGATTCAGTGTTATAGTGTAATAAAATAAGATTAAACTTAAATGATCCTTGGACAGGAACTAGATAATAATCAGCGAAGTGCCTAGAGTGCAGATCAGCTCTGGTCTGGTGGAGGAGGCCTCTGCTCTGCCTCCGACAGGAGAGGACACCACCAGCGGGCAAAGTGATTGAAGAGAGTGGGAAATGCTTTTGGGATTTCGTCTGCCCAAGCAAGCTCAGTGATGGAGGCCAGCATCAAACCAGCATCAAAAGCAAGCACACAAAACACACACACACACACACACACACACACACACACACACACACAAACCATCTTTCTCAGCAAGACCTGTTTCTATAGCAACAGCAAATAAGCTGATAAAATGCCAGAGTAACTGGTTTTCTCCCCAGGTGCTTACTGTGGTGAGTGTGTGTGTGTGTGTGTGTGTGTGTGTGTGTGTGTGTGTGTGTGTGTGTGTGTTTCTGGGCATTTTGGAGAATCAGGGTAATGCTTCTCAAGAGGTTTAATGAGGTAGGAGAGTGTGAGTAAATGCTGATAGATAACAGTGTGTTGACTATTATTAAGTGTGTTTCTGTACACGTGTGTGTGTGTGTGTGTGTGTGTGTGTGAATATGTTTCATTGTGAGACAGGCAGAGAGAGAGAGAGAGAGAAAAAGAAGCTCTTGATTCACCTTATCTTGGACATCCAGAGGGCATTTCTTTTCATGGAGGAATCTCAGGGTCTCGACATGGCCATGTCTCGCTGCGTAGTAGATGGCATTGGCTCCACTCTGAAGGATCCAGAGAGGAGAAAATTCCAGGATTTATCCCTGACCTTTAGAATAAAATCCAGCTCTCTGGGATTGTGTCTGCAGCCAGATGATATGAACACATCCCTCTAAAAGACTGCATAGCACATTCTCTGTCACACAAGTTGGGACTAGTGTGAGGACGTGCCAACATCCTGCGTTTAGAGCTGCATGTCAGATCATGGTGACCGTTTAAAACTGATCCTGCTAGAAATCTGGTGACAGTGTGTCAGTAGTTTGCACACAGCACACTCTTGCTTGTTATGATAATTAATTGGTAATGATTTATACCAAACAATACAAGGAACAAGAGGCAAACGATGTAAGAACAGAGGGAAAAGCAGACAGGAGTATCTCAGCCTGTCTGAACGGGATTCTCCTACAGGCTCCAGCCACACTTTCAGAAGTGAGCTAAGATTAAGTACATTTTTACATGAAAACCTTGTTTAGTGCAGCGGCACAGTTTATTAGAGATGCAACAATCCAACATTTTCCCACCAAATGCCAATTCCAGTGCCTTAATTCTGCTGATACCAAGCATTGATTCAATACCATTGCTCTTCGTCCCACATTTAAAATCTGTAGACCCCAGTGTCATTTACAGGATATTCATTTGCCATGTTCGGTAAAATGAGGCCAGTGATGCTGCGGTACTAAAAAGTGATTGGCGTCCCACAATGACTGAATGAATGTGAGTGAGCGAGAGGATTGGTCACGTCGTCTGTGCTCATACCCCCACGACAGGGCAGACCACTTCATCTCTACAATGAATTCCAGCTATGCAGTGAAGTATTTCATAAAACTTGAGGACTAAGCTGAATTTATTCAGATGCAGAGTCTATTTTTAAAAAGTTCTCATGTCAATACTGAAAACACAAAAGACGCCCAACATGCCCCTCAGGGCCTAGTGATATAGTGACATCAACTTTATAGTATCATTAAAAGTCTTCTGATAGCCATGTATATCACCATGTTAGAAATGTATGTAAAATTATATAAATATGGTGTTCGGTGCAATGAGCTGGAGCTGAAAAGATAAGTTGATGAATCAGTTGGTCTATCTACTAATGTGTTTTGTTTCTCAGACGACAGTAAACTGAATATCTTTTGATTCCTATTGTTGGACAATTGCAGACATCACCTGAGGCTGTGGGGACTTCTTCACCATTTTCAGACATTTTACAGCCTAAATAATTTGTTGATTATTTGAAAGATTTGAAAAAATTAATGTTTGGACTGATGGGACAGATGATGATGTTTTGCGACCATTTAGTTTTTCTTTTAGGGTTCCAGGTATTAAGTGTTAGGATTTAGGTATTTTGTGGCTGTAATTGTATTTGTACAAAGCTTGTGAATAGGGGCCATTTTTCCCCATTTGTCCCATTTGTCCCATTTTCACTCGTTGCTATTACAATTTTTTATCCTTTTACTTGTATTTTATTCAGATGTGTGTGAAATGAATGAATAAAGATGATTTTGTAAAGTGATAACGCAACAGATCATAATCAAAATACACAAAAGACACATAAAAGTGACAATAATGCTGAGCTAAATCTAATCCATGGAAATATTTTGTTTTGTCGTTTACAGACCCTGAAGCTGTCCTGTGTGTACAGATGGATGAATTCATGACATTTCTGAATATGACTAACGTATGCTTTTCTCTATGAGTACTCGGCGCAGTGCAGTGCAATGAGTTCATGGGTGATTTTGTCTATACTATATTTATAGCCTCTGTCATAATCCAAATGACGGTCCGTCAGCATTACTGCAGCTCTGATGCCTTTAATGCCTGTCTGTTAAACTCAGCAGCTGGCTGTCATGACCCACTGATTACAGCTAACACATGAGTCTTTACCTTGTCGTGGGCTTTGATCTCTGCACCTTTCCTCATCAGCACCTCGATGATCTGAATGTTGCCACAGCCGGCTGCGATCAGGAGGGGCGGAGTCCCGTGCTGCAATACACACACATATTATCATTTCAGTTTTCAGTGACCACGGTCATGTGATTTTATGTGTTTTATATACGTGCAAAAACTGGCGCCGTGAGCCTCAATCTGACGGCAAAAAAAAAGAGGTGGTGGGCTGAATTTGGGTGGACATGTCTCAGATCTCAGAGACAGTATCAACTTGTCATGTGTCTAAGAGAGTCTGCATGATGGTGGAAATATTGGCTGAGGTGCGAGAAAAGAAGATGGAAGAAAATGCCAGGATGACCTTTTCTGTATCAGTTCCTCTTCTTAAACATTGAGCAAAGTTAGAAATGGGGCAATTACCAGCCCCGACTCTTTTGCCTTTTTAAATTCTCTCCCTCTCTCATGCTGTCAAGCTCTCTGTCACTTACTGTAGTGATATTCTCCTCCTCCCCTCCAGATTTCTATACTCTCTCCATTCTCCCTCTCTCCGTCTCATTCCTTTGTTTTCTTCTACACTTCACTGAGTTTAATAACATCACGTCCCTCCATCGTCTACCAGCTGTCAACAAACAGTGTCTCTTCAGCATTGGAACAGCGAGCAGAATGAAGATGAGGCGGTTGTATATGTACCTGACCATCAGGCTGAAACAGTTTGGCTCTTTTCTCCCCTAAAATATATGTAACTGTAGTGTTTGTTTAAACTCGACTACACACCTGTAGTTGTCTTCTCTCTCTGTTTTTCCATTTTGTACAGATACGGATACATTTTTACACTGAAGGTTATAATGTTCAGTTTTTTGTTACTTGTGTGGCTGTTGAACGGTTTTGCATTAAACAGAGAGGTTGAGAGAAATGGACAAAATAATAGAAGCAGTTGTCAGTATTGCGCAATACAGTCTGACAGCACCATAAAAATAAAGATCTACCTAATTAACGGACAACCGAGTGTGTGTTTCACATTTTCTTCCCTTTAAGAAGCCTGTATGGTCTGTGTTAGTCCGCATCCTTGAACATCATCCACCTCTGTCGTCCACACCAGACACAAAACCTAACTATTTTTCCTGACTGGGTTTTTCACTGTTTTGTGGAAGAACCTAGTATCTGCTGCACTGGTTGTAATTTTACATGAAACTGGAACAAAAACACACACATCGAAAAAAAAATCATCCACATCTACATCTCTGTGTCGCTGTTCATCCACACAAACACTGGTAAGACAAAGACAACAGCTGTTTGTGTTATATAAACTGGAACACTGACTTATCCAAATCACAAGCAGCACAAAATTCAATTTGTGATCTTGTGATCAGAAACTTCTGCTCAGTCCCTAAAACAGGCAGAAGGCAGAGAAGAACATGTGAGCGCCATGACAAATGGTTTACGACACCCTTGACCAATGAGCTGCCCGAGCGGTGACACTGAACCAGTGTGAATGTGGGAGAGTGGACTGCACTGCAAAGTATTAACAAGGAAGTTGATTTTCTGAAAGTTGGAGGTTTAGGAAACACTTCACACTAATACACAAGAATACAACATTATAAAAAAAATAGAGAGTTAAAAGAATATAACACTATTGGGTGGTATAAAATATGTCTGTGTGAGTCACCTTGTTGGGCTGGTTGATGTCGTAACTGTTCAAGGAGCCGAGCAGATGCTGCAGGCCGGGCACGTTGTCGTCGTTTATGGCATGGATGATGGCCTTCATCACGAAGGAGTCTTCCTCATCCTAAACATGTGGGAACGACAGTTACTCTTCCAGTGTTCAAAGGATGATCTAATCCTGTGAACATTAATCCTGTGAATTCTTTCTGTCACATGGTCACCCTAAGTCTCTCTTTCATCTTTTTCTCAGGCACGAAAACACAGAAACAAACAAAAAAACAGCAGAAATTTTTCCTTTTGCATCCACAGTCTAGTTTCAAAACATATTAAAAGTGTTTTTTTTTTCCTGTGACATGTGACCCAATAACCTTCAGCCAGAGTCGACTGTACAGCACAGAAATTGGCTGTGATGCTCTGCTGCACAAAGAGACGAGGAGGATGAAGGCAGGGAGGTGAGGAGGAGAGGAGGGGGGGGGTGAGAGGAGGGGAGAGGAGGCGAGGCTGATGTGGCATTTGCTCGACCAAGCGTGATACTCCGGCTACATTCCTCAACATAACCTCCCTGCTGGGGGAGCCGTGACTAAACCACCGCCGAGAGCCACACACACACACACACACACACACACACACACACACAACACAAATATGTCCGAGCAGCAAAGTGACTCGCTGTCAGCACAGCTGTGTGGGATTTTTTTTTACCCCCTGAAAATACTAATTCATGATGGAGACGGTACTGGAGAGGTATTACCCATTTATCTTATTTTCTCTTTGGTGTGTATGATTTTTTTGACAGCCAGATGGTAACTAACAACTTCTCCAACCAACAGAAGAAAACTTCCACTAAAGTGTCGCTGAATGACTGATGTGATGACTGTTTCTCTTATGTAACACCTCTGCTCATGGATAACAGTTTCCACATTAAAAAAAACAGAAGGAGAGAGTTTGGTATCTGGAAAATAAAGCCGCGGTCTTATGACTAAAAGATCAGCAGTTACAATCTTCAGACAGATTGGGAAAACTTGCAGCGAGAATGAGTAATGTTCTTCTGTCAGAAAGTTGATCTTGAAGTATTTTGTACAGGTGGTTAAACCTTATATCCTCGCCACCTTGGCACCTAAAATGCTCCTTTTAACCCACAGTCATCCATTTCTCTGTGAGTTTCTCTTTGAATTGCAATGATTTGACAGAATGAGTAACAGAAAAACATTTGCCAGCAAGCATGATAACTGATTAATTGTTAAAGTCATTTGTGAAGCACAAATGCTAAACATTCATTGGGTTCAGCTTCTTCAATGTGAGAATTTGCGGTGTGACTGTGAATAGAGAAATTAAGCAAAACAAAGACGTCAGCTTTGGTTTTGGGGAATATTTCATTATAGAACTGCAAAGTGAGATGAGTTATTTTGACTGGCTAACATATTGTATGGAGAGATGTTTATTTCCGGTGACATTAATGGTGAACAGAAACTAAAGATTACACTTTGTAGAAATGAGATAAAACATTTATCAATTGAAATAATTTAACTTTTAACTTTCTGGGTCAGGATGTTGATGAATTTAGCAGCTAAGGTGTGATTCAGATTCACACTTCTTCTCAATAATGAATGGATCTGCTATGAGAAAACTGACCATAACATAAACCTATAAAAAAAACAACAGATTAAGCAGTAATGAAATGAAAATAATCCCTCATGTGTGCTCCCCAACCCTCTGACACAGACCCTCTAAGACAGAACACAAAAAACTTCTTAGTTGGAAATTTACAGAGGGGGAGCTGCACTAAACCTCTGAGTGAGGTCTTTAAGTGAGGCACTTAACCCTGAAACTGCTCAGCCAATAAAGCCATGATCTGTGGGGAAGCTTGAACTTGTATCGGCTGCAGCTGCAGTTCTGTTAGTGTACTCCAGGGGGCGCAGCATCTTTAACATGTTTATCTCTACCTGCCAGCTCACCTGTGACACAAGGAAGTTGCTGTGTAATCCTTTGAGGAAACAGGCCTGGCCTTGGCCTGCCGCTACAGCTTTGTAAATCATTAATCCTCTCACCGAAGCTGCAGTGTTTACATCTCCCAGGCTTGTCAGTATCAACTTTCCGACGTATGAATACCATAAAAGCTGTTTTGTGCATCACTATTTGTGTTCACACTGACTCGTTCATTAACAAGAGTTTCCTTCTCTGGAGGCACATTCCTACCAGCTCAGTCTGGTTTTAAGGTTACACACACTCAAATTCCTACAGTTCTGTAAACATCTGAACTGTGGCCCTGTGAGGAAACTGGGAACAGATCAATTACATGAAGAAGCTCAAGATTCTCAGAGAGATTGTAGAGCTGAAAATACCAGAGCTGTAACTGAGAGCTCGGGGGCGTAATAAGTTAATGCTACTTCAATAAAAAAATAAAAAAACTGGAACTCATTATGTTGCCAGTCCCCTGTCAATTACTTTTATTTGGCTCATATTAAAGATAGGACTGTTGAGATAACAGTAATCATCCTCATGCTGCACATGTCTCAAGTGCAATTTAAAGCCTTGATGGTGTTAAGTGCTGCAAACCCAATCAACTGTAATGAATGTGGATCAAGATCCTGCTTCTCCTGTCTTTTTAAGTGAGATGTCCATGTCTCTTTTGATTATAGATCAGGTCGAGGTTCTATATTAATTCTGTGAAAGTATCAAAGTGCTCAGTCCACAGAGAAACATACACAGCCTGTATTCAGAAACTGAGCCTTAAAACGAGCCGTCAGGACTTCCTGTAACTTTGTGATGTCGCAACAAAGCAGACTCAGAGCCTCTCTCCTGATTGGCTCACTGACCTGTTGTTACTAGAGCTCCAGAGTGAAGCCTGAGAGAGGAGATGTAAAACTACACTGAGATGGTTTTTGGTTCTTAAAACAACAAATATATCTTCTTATGGATCAACACTTCAAATAAAACAGGAAAAGTGTAAAATGTGGGAAAGTTTAGATGAGAAAAGCACTTTTTTTTTTTTCTGAGGTCTTACCAGAGTGTCATCACTGCGTGCCACGCTCATGTTGCTCCTGGACAGGAAGGAGCGGGACAGGCGGTTGCATAAGGAGATAAGTCGGACGGATTGCTGGAAAAGAAGAATGGCGACACATGAATGACTATCAAGAACTAGAAAAAGTTGATGTCAAGTAGAGTTAAGAAGACTGCGAACAGGCAGGCAGGTGTAGACATAAAGCAATTTTCTGCTCTATTTACAGTTACTTGACTCGTTGCATCGTTCTGTGATAACCCATTGTCTTTTGTACTGCTGTGTGACTCGATTCTTCCCTCAAAGGGCAAAGTCAAACACACACACACACACACACACACACAGTTAAAACCTAAAAAATACAAAATATGATGATGACATCATGGTGGCACGTGCATTTACCAATGTTTATACAAAGTAAACTGATCATCACTTGCACTGCTGCTGCTCGGAAGTCAAACAAGTCTAATTTGTTTTACATACAGGCGATCTAAAACACATACCTGACGGCATTAGCTTAAAGGAGTCATAGAGGAAAAGTGCAGGGTGACTGATAATCTCTCATGTGTTTTTCAGGACGTGCTAGGGATCGCTGTGCTTTGAAAATAATTTCAAAGCTGAGTTTAAGAGCGCCTTGCAATCAGTGCTCATCCTTTCGACAAGCGGCCAACGAGCAAATGAGTACACCTCAAAAGGAAAATATGATTATAGGTCTTAGTCTTGAATTGGATTCTATTTGCTCTGTCTTTTGGACACAGCTGGATTTTATTTATTCCTTTAAAGTATGGTGAGATATTTCAAAAACCTGACAGACTTTTTAAATCTCGTCTAAACAAACTATATTTACGTCTCTGCTTTGTCATATTTTGGTGCCAGTTTTATATGTGATGAATAAATAAACACAAAGTCAAATCAAGCCAGAAGCTACCAGTGTGCCAGTGGTAGCCTGAGCTGGAAGACAGAGATGTGGCGTGACATCGCCGCTGAAACCACCAGACAAGAGAGTCCCAGCATCTCTTGCAGGCAGGGAGCAGAGCCCGGTCAGATGTGATGAACCAAAACAGACAAGGAAACAACCACCAAAGCAGAACTGGTAGTAAATGTGATGGTTATGGCGAGCCTGCAGGAACTGTGGTGACATTAAAGTGCAGTGTCTTGGGGATGTGACGAGTTACTGGGCGAGTTTTGGTTTTTTTTTTCCCCCTCAAGCTCGAGTGAGTAAAAATTAGAGACAGTATCAAAGAGAAGTACTTACTTTCCATTTTCTTCGAGCTGCAAACTTCTTGAACTTTTCCATGTTGACAGCCGACTCCTTCCTGCTCAGCGCTTGTTGAGTGTCTTTTGGCTGATTTCACAAACACAGCAAATGTATGGACATAAAAAGCTTTTCAGAATATTCTTGGCGAGATAAATCTGGTACAGAATCAATTAGTGGAGGCTTGGCAACATTCAGCTTATAAACTCAGACCAGTTAAAATATAAACTGCTGCCACAAATAAAATGACGAGGAATTTTAAATTTTACTGCATCACTAATGTTTTAATATAAACAGAGATTTCATCAGTCAGCTATCAAAAGAGTCCAACCTTGATCCAGGGGTGCTGGAGGCTGTCCTGAATCGTCATTCTCTTTCTGCAGACAGAAAATAAGGAGAGGGAGAAATCTGTGTTGATTTGTTGAAGATATTTCCAGCAGTTGCAGAGAGATACTTTCTAAGACTGTTTATGTCCCTGGACATGCACTTGCCGGAGTGTTATGTTTTGGCGTCTAATAAGCCATTAAACTCAAGATCCTGGATTGTGTTTCATCGTCTCACTGGTATGATAAAACTGCAGCTCCTGTGATTTGGATATTGCACTTCGCCATATTCTGATTTTCATAATATTTTGATTAATTGTTCAGCCCTGCTGGTACCTGAAACAACAATCCCGCACCAACACAGCCGATTGGGTTTGAAATTGAGAATATCATTTTACAAGGAAAATGTATGAAACAATTTGTCAATTAACTGATTAGTCAATAAACCGAAAAGTCACATGATACTACTTTAATTATCAATTAATCATCTATGTAACAAAAATTCACTCTTTCCAGCCTCTAAAATGTAAAGTCTGGAACATCTTGGCCGGACAGTGATGACCTAACGATTGCCTTGTATATTGACCTTTGACCTTTGTTGAACTGGAACATCTTATTTCCTTTTTGAAAGTTGTCATACGTCTCTTTAACAACATCACAGATACAGTAATGAGACAAACTATTTGGAACGTTCAAGCAAACAGGGAACAATTTATCTCACATTCGATTTGTGTACTACTTCCCAAGATATATTCATTTAAAGGATGTGATACTTAATTTGGAGAAGATGTTTCAAAACATAGAGTCAGCACTAGATCTATACACAGATTATATTAAACAGACGTTATTAACAGAGCAATGCTTGGAACATCGACACTCTATATTTAATTAACATCTGACATTCAGTAAGAGCCAAGATAGCCTTTTAAAAAAACTGATGTGGTTCAAAGTACAGACGCCACTTCCCTCAGACTCTCACTGCCACATCCTTTAATACAGCTGCTGTAAACTAACAACAAACACGACACATTGTTCTGAAAGAGTTTCAGTGGACACACCACTTCCTCCCGTCTACACCTCTTTACTACCACATCCCTGTGTCTAACAGAGAACGCTCACACACACCTGACGCAGTAAAAACCCAGAAACCTACACACTGTCTACTGAGGTAACACTGGACTTCAGGGGAGGAAATGTACCATATGAACCAGAATATCATGGAAAACAATGACTGGTGAACATTGTTAAATAGTAATGTGCGTCTTCCCCGAGTGGATCTCCATTAATCTTCCTGCCGGCTGACGGATCCATGTCCGCTCACGACGTAGATCAGTTAAAAGCCGTTCCATTGTGATGGACTCAGTCGGGGATTTCTAAAAGCCCCATTAGTTGGAAGTTTGTAAAGTCAGTCTATTCTTTCGCCCACCGTCTGCATAAAGCAACCTGCGCCCGTCTCTTTCTTACTTTTAGCCCGTCTAAATGAAATTATCTCCACACCTACAATTATTCACCTCTGTGAGCCCCCTCACACTCGCTCCATTGTTCTGACGGAAGGAAGGGGAGTAATTAGGAGCGAGAGAAAGAGTTTTGGTGGCAGTTATTGTCTTTAAGTGGAGCTGCAGTCATTCAGTTGTTGCTAGAGCAACTCTGTATGAGGGAGAGACAATGACAGGTTTAGGTTCCTTATTGTCTAGAGACAAGGGAGTTTTATTTGGAAAACTTGCAGAGAGCCTGTATTCTGTGTGATTGTCAGCTTTTGATGGTTTTATAAACGGCAGCAATCAAAGAGGAAATATTCATCTATTGTCTTTTAAAGTACATTATTATAGAGATTATATAGAGATAGGGAGGAGACAGGACATTTTATTTATAATACAGCTTTACTTTTGAATTCTAACCAGAAAAGGGCTGATGTCTTTAGAATTTGATGTTCACTCTAGTGCTGAAAGGATTATTCAATTAACGATTTTGACAGCCGATTAATCATTTATGTCACTGGCCAATCAAAATCTTCCAAATGTACCAGACTCTACCACAAAGCAAGAAGCTGCTGGAAGCAAAAAACAATATCAGACGACAGTAAATGAGACGATTTGCTTTTCTCCGCTTCATATCATGGATATGGAATATTTTTGAGGTTTAGTTTAGACTGTTGGTCCGATAAAACCAGGAGTGTGTTGGACATTGTTCACCAGTCTGTCACATTGTTAATCAAAAAATACACATATTTAGTCACTAATGAAAATAATTATAATTCTTATCCCTAGTTCACTCTTCTGGAAACAGTTTACATTTGTTTCCTCTCAGTCCATGCTGTGATATTACTATACCTCAATAACCTTGTGGTTATTTCTCACAATCGAGAATCCATCTTGCCAGGACAGTGTGTCGGAGCAATCAGCATCCTATAATAGAGGAGCAACTGGCAGCTACGGACGTGTCTTAGTATTGAAAACAGCGGGAAGCAACTGTTTGTGAAGAACAATGGCGGCTCATAAAGAAGTCAGCGTAGATGCTGCTATGACGTCAATTACATTAGAACCGGAGAGTATTTCTTCACTGAAAGAAGCAAAAAGATATTAATTTAGCAACTGGCTCTGCTGGTGGAGAAAAAATATGAAGGATGCAAAATCTGATTGGTTGAAGTTAGCTGTCGAGTATAATGGTAATACCCTGTCAAGTAATTTCTGAAAGCGCAAACGAAGCCTTCACAGATGGATCTGTGTAACAACTGGCACGTCAGGTTAATTCTTCAGAGCATCAACAAAAAAAATGACCTCAATCTCTACCTGAAGCTGAACGTTTAAGACTTTTGTCTCAAACATCATCTAATAGAAAGACGGTTCACACATACTTGGGGTCTTTGACAAGGAGCTTCGCTATGAAGTCTTTGGCCAGGATGCTGGTGTTGCTGAAGAAGTCCTCGTCAAACGTGTAGTCGACGGCCGACACGTTGGCCAGCGTCTCCTGCTTGTTTTCGCCCAGGAAAGGCGACGCACCGCTCAAACTGAAAGATGGGAGAGAGGTTAGAGTTGTACATCAGTGGAACAAATGAGTAGTCAAACGCAACTATTGATCATTTAGGCCAGTGGTTCTCAAAGAGGGGTCCCGGGACTACTTGAGGGGGTTCCTGGGGGTCCTGAGCGAAAAGGAGAATCATTTATTTTCACTATATTTCCATCCATAAATAACACGACAGAATTTATTGCTATTTTGGTCATGAGTTTCAAACACTGTCTGTGGTTAAACATCTAAAAGCAAAAGTCTTGAGATGGACAAAGTTTTCGAACCACTGATTGGTCATTGTTCAAGCTAAATTGCAAAAAGAAAAAGTGCTCGTTCCAGCCTCTGACTTACTCCTTTTCTGTTTTTTGTTAAATCATCTCTGACTGAATATCTTTAGATTTTAGACTTCTGGCTGGAACAAGTCACCTCAGATGCTTGAAACTTGTGATGGCCATTTTCCACTATTTTCTGACTGATTAATAATCAACTGAGGCAATTACTGGCAGACAAATCAATAACGAAAATGATATAGTTATAGTTCGTCAGACTAGTGCGGACTAGAGAGACCAATACATAAGAACTGATGAAGCCGCTTGGATAAGAGGCGAAACACCTTCCACAGACAAATACAAGTCCAGTTGCCTTCGATTTAATTTGAGAGAGAGATATAGTTATAAGTAGTTATCTGATTATTTAGTAGTTATTTTTATTGTTAGTAGCAGCCCTACTAAATAAAAAAGACAACGATACAAAATACAGAAACACATCTAAAACACAGACAGCTATGGATTTCTTTCTGATTGCATGTTGAGCTCTATGTTTGTGCTCAACAGCGTCTGAATCTCCAATATAATCTACTTTAACAACAGCAACGCCGTCTCATCATCGAGCTCGTCCCACTGGGTCTTGTAATCAAAGGGAAAATGAATACATTGGTTTTCAATTCAAACACGAACTCGCTCACCGCTGATTAGCTTTGGCCCTTAAAATCAAAACTTAGACCTTACCACTCGTTGATGTGGGGAATGTGATTAAAGAGCTGCGTAGCAACTAATGGTGACTCATTAGTCAAGCCTTGCTATCAGACTGAAGTATGTGATATTTGCTAGTCAAACACTATCACAGGAGAGCCAGCTGCACGGCTTTCAGCTGCAATGACTGCGTGAGGAGTTTTGAGTGGGGCGCAGAAATTTCATATGAACACACTTAAAAATCAGCAGATGCAGCGAGGGGATAATATTCCCAACATGCAAGACAAAAGCACAATTTAATGGACCAAACCGAGACACACACACACACACGCACACACACACACACAGGGCTGAGCGGTCATGCGTGGTGACAAGGTCCCAGCCTCAAACCCTGGCCTTCCCTTCTCTCCTGCACGCCAGCACCAGCCACTAATTAACATGCCAGCTGTGACAGACGTTGAGGTGGTGAAGGTTGAGCTCAAGTTGAGTGGAAATGTATGAATTTATCAACTGTATAAATTGCAGCTGCTCAGAACAGAGTAATTAACGCAGGTCTTCACAGGGCCGGGCAGGGGAGGCAGCAGCAAAGTGTTAAGTCAGGGATCTGTGGACACATTTCATCCACCCTTTCTCCTGAAATGCTTCCCAAATGAGACCTGAAGATGCAGAATGCACATTTTTTATGCTGAGATACACCCATCTTCACAACCTACAACCCAAATTAGGGCTCCAGCAGAGCAGAGAGTTGCATCACCACTAGCTGATTCACCACATTTCCCCAAATGATTTCAGTTTACATTACCTCAGGCGAGGCGAGTCTTTTGCATTGTTAAAAAGTGCAAACAGTAGTATCTCTTGCTACTACTTGGAGTTGCCTAATGGAGCTTTCACTACTTTGCTGCAATTGGGTCATCACTCAGGCAGAATACTTGGAGATGCTCCCAAAAAAATAAATAAAAAAATCACCCAAAATCGTTCATTGAATCGCTCCCAGTCTTTTTTCCTCCTCTCTCCTTCCTTTTAACAATAGGAGATGAACATCCAGTGCACCTCACTGTTGCTCCGCTGTGATAACAGGCAGTGAACGATCTATTTTCTACCTTGCCGGGCGGAGCTGTGACAGCTGTGTGGGTGGACAGCATGAACAAAGATCCTGCGTGCATGTGTACAGCATGTGTGTGTGTGTGTGTGTGTGTGTGTGGATGCATTTGTGCATGTGTAAGACTGTGTAATGTAGGGACAAAATGATGCATCATTTTAACAGCACCTACACATTTCTCTCCCAAAATGAAGCATGTAATGTTTGTAGCTGCGTATTATATAATAATGAGATAACACCTGTGTTGGTATTTGCCTTTACTTTCCCTTTATTATATTCTGGTGAGAACTCTCTACATGTTTGTGTGGGCAAACGCACCTAATGTGCAATTTTGTGCACACATTATGTGTTTGTTTTCGTGTAGGTGTCTCCCTGAAGGATAAAGGTGAGTGGGAGCTCAGAAAGCCTTGTTGCTGGGTGTAAAGAGAAGACGGCAGCATCATCGAGAGCCAACAGCAGTTGATCCGTGGGTCGCCAAGGGCATCAACTTTTCTCTCACTGTTGAATTAAACCTGCAGACAGCTGCTTTAAGAACACTCGCTGGTTAAATGAAAGCCTTTGGCTGTAGAGGATGAAGTTGTTTGTTGATAAGATAAAGATCAATTGTCAGAATGAATTAGTAGCAAATTAGGTGTAGGCCTACAGTTCAAACCAAAAGGTTGACATTTTGACTGAAAGGTCACCGCTTTGAATCCTTGGACCAGTGGAAAAAAACTTAGACAATAATGGATTCTTCTTCTTGAGACTTTTTTATAATAAACTGCCTTCATTCATTTTCATTAAACAGTGAGCTGTATCTATAGATTGTGATTTGTTAAATTAAAAAGGGGAATGTATAAACTGGACTTGTTTCTGAGGTCACATCTCCTTCAGTAACTGCATAACTTGCTGACTAAATCACAGAAGACCTGCCAGACTTTGGACAAAGTCCAGCTAGACTAGTTTCTAGCAGCCTAGAGACCATTATTTTACCTTTTTGGTAAAAAAAAAGAAAAAAAAAGAAAAAAGAAATTGTGAATTTCTTGGCGTTTATTTTGAATATTAAAAAACAGATTAAAGTCACATTTTAAAAAAATAAATTCAACAAAGATCTGGGAATAATAAGGATTTTTTAAATACTTGTTTTAAATACAAGGAAAGGAGCTGTTATTAACATTGTCTTTTTGCAGCAGGAAATGTAAGTTTTGGATGTGTGGGGGTATAAAATCTGGGTGGAAATGAGTCTACATTCTTCAGTGTAAATAAGTAAAAAGGTTATATAATAAAATAAAGTTTAAATCATTAGATCATTTATAAATCTCACTTTTTACATTAAAATGTAATATGCAACCTTTTCAGGCAACGAGTAATTGGAAATATCAGAGCGGTGACAGTGTGATCATCGGAGCGATTCTCCCCGCAAATTAACGTATGAAAAGCTTGATAGAGGTAGAAAAGATGATGGAAAGATGATAAAACTTTTTAAACTTTATAAACCCCAGGTGGAAAAATCATCATTTTTTATGGCATTAACAGCAGAGACATTAATGAAGCGTTTAATCAATATAAAATTATCAAATAAGCTACAACATAATTGCAGGTTTTATACTTTGATGTAAAGAAGGAGCCTCTATACTGTGGTCAACAATGAATCACTGATATTGGATATTTAATAAAAAGCCAATCAGTCTGATCAGCAAAACAAACTGTCCTGGACTGAATCTGCACAACATTCACACCACTGCTGTCACACTATCACACTCGCATGCACTGAAAGAGCAGTTATACGTGTACACTTCAACACTGTGACTGCTGAGGGGGCCAGCGAGTTCAACGACAGAGAGGTCAAAGAGCCGCCATTAACCTCTTTACATCTCAACAAGCATTCTGATGTTGCCTTGTTTAGAGGGTGACAACGCCCTGGGGTTTGTAAGAAAATGTGTTTCCAATTTATACATATTTCAGATACTTACAGGATGTAGGTTATCACACCGACGCTCCTGGAGAGAGACAGAGGAGAAGGAGAGATTTTCAGCATCGAACAGTTGATCTCGTCACAAAACAATCGTGCATTTTGACGGCATGGCATCGTGCAGAACATACATTTACTCAAAAGCAGATGTTCGGGTTCAGTTCAGGATTTCAAACAGCATATGTACACTATGGTGGTTGTAGAGCAGATTGAGTTTGTATTTACTTACCACATGTCTGCCTCCAGGCCCAAAGGTTCATAGTTGACTACTTCTGGAGCTGTAAGGCAAATACATAAAACAGAGGATAATTATTATTCAGGTCAACACCACACCACACACTAACCTTACCTCTGATTTTTTTCATTTGAGTATTTATTTTCCCTTACTAATTAATAATAAGAATAATGTATTTTCTTCTTGCAGTCCCTTTGCACTTTGTGACAGGCTTTATTTTGGCCTATAATCGCTTTTACCTGGGTTCAATGATTTTATTGTTTCTTCAAAAATGTTGTTCTATAAACTACTATTTTTTTAATCACACCTACAAGACCTATGATTATTATATTCTTTTCTCTAGTCACAGGTCCTCAGATATGTGAATAATTAAATGAAGTACATTGTTTTTGAGATGTGTAAACATTTTCTACATCAGCTAGAAGTCTAAAATTGGGCAAATAGTTGGTTAGTTGTTCATTTGTATTTATGTTTTATACAGTCATCAATCACACGGTTATTGGATTTAACAAATAAAAACAGAACCATGTGTTCTGACAAATAAATTCATTTGCTGAAGCAACTAAATATGGACAAAAACACATCAACTTTTTCGAATAGCAGCAGTAACAAAAATTTATAATTGTTGCCATGGGGACAGTTAGCTGTGAGGTACCATGTGTTGTAGCCTGTGTTTGCTACATTTGTTAAAAAGTATGGAACATTATTATCTATTAGCTGTTCTTGTTTGCAGTTTACCCATGGACCTAGAGTCAACTATCACTGGATTACTGTGGTACTGAAGCAAACGGGTCACTTTAACCTCTCCTGTGCCCGCCAGCGGAGGTACGCTTCACAGTCTGAAAACCTCTAGTGCGCAATTACAAAACCACATGTTGAAAAGCCAAATGCAAAAGACTCAATTTACATTTGTAAAGAATATACAATTCCATCTGTTTTTGTACCCGATGAATTTCAGAATTGCTCGGCCTGTTTTCCAGCATGATTTGGGCTTTTTGCCACTTGATCTTTATTTAGACCATTTGACCAGTGCCACCCTGCTGAACTGGGAACAGGCTCAGGCTTTGGCCTGGATGGTGCTGGTAGCGGGCAAGGGGAGTGTATGAGTGTTGGCGGCCGCCCCGGGCAAAGGGGTAGATGAGGGACAGAGCCACTGATGTGTCTATCAGTGTGTGTGTGTGTGTGTGTGTGTGTGTTTGTGTTGGCAAGAAGGAGCAGTTCTGATAATTGCCAGTCTATTATCAGGTCTCTCTCACTTAGTCCCTATGGCACGGTTGGCACCTGCTCTCACAATGCGCAACCCCTGGGATAAAGCCAGAGAAACAGGGTGGTGCAGTGAGTGTGTGTGTGTGTGTGTGTGTGTGTGTGTGTGTGTGTGTGTGTGTGTGTGTTTGTAGTAGAGAAAGGAAAGAAAGAAAGAGGACAAATGAGCTTTTAAACGATGTACACATAAAAACAAAAGTCGTGTACTGACCTACAAATTCTGGAGTTCCAAAAATGTTTTTAAAATCATTGCCAAAATCGATCTTGTGGGCCAGGCCGAAGTCAATGATCTTGATGCGCGGGTGAGGCACAGAGCGGTTCAGCAGCATGATGTTCTCCGGCTAGAGAGAAAGAAAAAGAGAGACAGTTAAAAAAAAAGTTGAGACATGGAGGACAGACAGAGGCAGGAAGAGGTGGTGTGATATTTTAGAAATTTATTTTATAAAGACCTCTCTTTATTGACACTTTCTTTTGAAGCTGTTATTAGTTTGCAGCCACCTGTGTGTTGTGATTTCAGTGGGGACCATTTACAATACTCACAGAGAAATTACAGAACAAATGCTGAAAAATTATGAGTTTACAACAACAGTGGTAGAGGATGTATACAGATCATTTACTTAAGTAAAACTACTAATACCAAACTAATAGCGACAATGCTACAATGAAAATGTTAGTATCAAAAGTAAAGGAATTATTTTTAAGTTTTCTCTACCGCTGAATCTGTTTTCTTGCCAGGAGCAGGTGGTGGTGATGGCCGCTTGCCAAGAACTTCAGTCAACATTACGTTTACAATATAAAAGGTTACGCCATCTGAGCAACGCTACTTGTTCAGGGCAGACTGGATGCTACAGTGACTTGGTATCAGAAAGTGACCTGTGCTAGCTTGTTAGCATGCTAACTTCAGGACTAGAGTTAGAAATAAAAGCAAAATAAGAGGTAACATTGGTGTTGCTTTCCACCAGTGGAGACAGCTCTTGGCAAGTAAAAGGAATGAAGTTTGATGCTGAACTCACAACAGCTGTTAATGCTAATGCTGCAGTAGCAGTGTTAGCAGTTGGTGCAACCAAAGATTATTTTCATTTTGCATTAATCTGCTGATTATTTACTCAAATAATCAATAAATTGTTTGGTTTGTAAAACTCCAAATTGTGATGAAATACTCAAAACAAAACACCCAGAGCACAAAGTGACACCTTCACACTGAAAATACTTGCTAACCAATACAGTTAACTGATCAACTCATCTCTAACTGTATATGTTGGGTATCAATCTATAGCAAAGCATCAAATCTTATAAACTCTTCATAAATTTTGTACGTAAAATCGTATAGCTGCATGAATAGATAACACTCAACAAAAGTACAATTACTTTAAAACTAATACAAATTTATAACCTAGTATAGTGGGTTAGTATAATAGTATAATGTATAATGTGCTTTGTTACGTTCCACCAATGTAGGACACACACTAAGTGTAAACAAGAGGCCAGCAGCAGAGTCAGACACAAAACCAGGATCAGTCTGTCAGGAAGGAGGCTCGTCAGCCATGGAAATCCCATGCAAAACACGAGTAAAAACCTCTTGAGGAAGTGGGAGAAAGGAAAGGACTGCAAAGATGCGCTTTAAGCAAAGCCAAACAACAGAAGCCGGACATTCCTAAGGACACAATGCCTCTTTTACTAAAACCATTTTCCTTCCAAACCTAGTCCATTCAGCTTGACTATGAGCCGAGCTTGAGGATCTAGTCTAGGGAAGGAACAAGGAACAGATTGGCAGTGGGCAGCAGTGGCAACAGGAGGCGATGAGAAAATACAATCAAACTCCGGCTCAGCTTGTTGGTTTTCTTCTCTGTTCTATAAACACTGACATGCTTATGTTTATGCTGGAATGAAGGAGAACGATCAAATGTGGATTACAACTGTCCCAGCTCTCCGTCTGCAAAATGTTAACACCTTAAATCATGAGCAAAGTGGGAATTTCAGGACCAATTTCACTGCAAGTAAAACCATGTTTCCCCACTGATATCTCTGCGACATGAAGAAAATTACAAAGAGCATTAATTAGATTATTGATGAAACAATGATACAGTAGATGCATCAAAGTTTGTGGATTTTGCAAGTGTTTTCCATCTAAAGAACAGATTACTTAAAATCCTTTTGCTCCTTCAGCTCAGATACAAATTGCATATAAGATGACTGCTGAAGACTCAGACATCATTAGTCTGCCCTGCCCAACATATTAAGCTCTTGAGCATAATAAGTACCCTGCCTGGCAATATTACTGTCTCTGTAGAATTGATCGGACTCTAAAGGAGAAAGTCATTTTCACAAAACTGCCTTCTTCTGGCACTCTAAACTATGTGATTGCAGTTTAAAATGGACAGACAGAACATTTGGGGGAGCTTTTATGTCTGACCCCTAATGTCTACTACAACTGCTGTCATGGTCAGGTCACAGCTGGTCAGTATCCACATAAAAAGCCACAGAAATAGCCTGGAGCTAAATCCGACAGAATGTTTTTGTAATGGGAGTCAAACACGATGAAAAGACAAGATGTTATCAGAGGCTAGGTGAAAAAAGCAAATAAATGCACTAAACTTCCACCCTTGGAATACTGCGGTATTGCAGAAAGCCATTCAACTAAACAAATTAAGTCTTAATCTGTAAAACGGTAAATAACAGCAGCTGATATCCAAAATGGAGGCCGTGGTGGTTAGTAAAAGCTCTGCCATTGATCAGCAGTGGCTGGCTGGGCACAGAGGTTATTACTATTATTTCTGCAGAACTGGAGGTCCTGAACTTTGATGTATGATTCGTGAGGATTGGTCTGTGAGTGGAGCAGTCAGTCTGGACTGTTGATGGCGAAGACGCCATATACGCAGCTGTAAGTGAACAACTGATCAATAACACTGATTGCAATTTAAATAAACAACTAGATTTCAAAAATACACTAAACACTGAGGTGGTGTAATGGGCAGGAACTTGTATGGTTTACCTGTCGTTCTGCTGTGGGTACACTGTGACCTTAACCCTTATCCCCTCAGGAGTTTAAACTACCCACACTCCATAATAAAAAAGAGACGTTACAAAAACAGATTAGTCATGGTAATTAGCCTGAGATGCGCTAGTTCAAAAACACAGATAGAAAGAGAAACTGATGTAAAATGAGAGGTAGAAGAGAGGTCAGCTAATGCAAAAAAAAAATTAGATTTATTCACAAACTATTGTAAATCCAGTCCTGCAGTGAGCTCGCAGTTGAGAAAATGTGCATGAACATCAGACTACTCTCAGGGCGCTGAAGTACAGGCAGCATTTTACTGTGGTCTCTACTAAGACTCATAAATGTTGGGGTTTTTGTTTTGTTTTGTGAGTGTTTGTGTCGGAGGACCCTTCTCAAAGAACAGAACCAGCTGCGTCTAAACGTAATAAGACCTTGAAGAAGCCTCTCACAATCTCACAATCATCAGAGGAGTGGATCTTTCTATTTCTTAAATTGTACATTTTCAAGACTAATCACTTGTAAAGTCTTATTTGCATTTGTTAAATTGTCTCAAACAAAGGACCTATGAAGGATAAATGCATGAGTCTAGTGTCCATTGCTGTGTCTAGTAATGCTAGTAGTATATAATCATTTTCACAGCAGTTAATACACAAGAAATCTGTACTTTCCTGTTTTTTCTCAACAGAAAGTGAAGCAACAGATGTCAATCAAACTGTGACCTTCACTGTCAAATCGACTTTACAAAGCATAAAATTTGACATTTCGACATGTCACAGTTGAAAAAACACAGGTGTAAAGCAACATGATTAACTGATTCATAAAAGTTGCTAGTTGCTGATTTATTGCTGTTAATTTACTAATTAATCAACAACATTTCTCTAATTTTGTCTATAATAGATGAGAGAATATTGAAAATGGACATTATTATTACTATATACTAAACTAATACAATACTATACTTAATCTTCTGTTGGTTGACTAATCGATTAATCAACTTATCATCTCAGCTCCAATATTTAATTGTGAATGTGCAACAGACTCAAAACCAAACTTCTTAGCATTAGTATGTAGTATGGAATGAGGACACAGTTTATGTTGTAGTATGTTATAATTGGAAGCAGACTGAACGGACAATATCCCCAAAACTTATACTCCAGCTCTGAAACCAGACAATCAGACAGACATGACGTCCTCTGTCTTTAGCTGCTGCTGTACCTTAAGGTCAAAGTGAGCGATTTGTTTGCAGTGCAGGTAGAAGACTCCATCCAGGATCTGCTTGAGGAACTGAGTGGCTTCTTCCTCGCTCAGCGACTCCTTCTCTGCCAGGAAGTCGAAGAGCTCACCGCCAGCCACTCTGCATGAAAGAGACAAGAGAGAGAGAGAGAGAGAGAGAGAGAGAGAGAGAGAGAGAGAGCGGGAGAGGCAGAATTAAAATGTGAGATCTCTCAGATCAGAGCCAGCTACAAATCCCTGCTTAACAGAGCTGAGCTGATGTAATCTAATCATCCTGGTGCATTAGAGCCCGACCAATTTACACATCCCGAGCACATTTTAACCAGCGCTGTTCTCAATAAAATACTTTACATCGTGTTTAAATAGAAAACCCTCCATTAACAACAACAATGGGTAAGATGGCGGAAAGGAATCTATCTATCTATCTATTTTCTGAATCATGAGGAACATTTACATATTCATCAAGTGAAAGTCTACACTGTTTATCAAAATCACAATCATCAAATTTACTTTGCAGTTAATATTATGATTATTACCAGATAATCTGTGGATTACTTTCTGAAATATTTGATTATTTGTTTTGTCTATAAAATGTCAAAAAACATTTTCCACATACGAAGATCATGTCTTCAAATGTCTAGTGTCCAACCGTGTCAACAGTGCTAAACCCACACATATTTGGATTACTACCATGAATGACAAAGAAAAGCATAAAATATTCACATTTAAGATGCTGGAATCAGGAAAATGTATAAAGAAATTTTTGCCTGAAAATTACTAAAACGATTATTTAATTATCAAACTAGCGACTTATTAAGTTAAATAGATTAATTGACAATTTGTTGCAGCTCGAAAACAGATCCAACATATTATTATACAAGGCTGAAATTCAACTCACGCTTATTGAGGTTTTGATGTCAAAGGTATCTTTTCATATCAGAATTTAATTATAATGCTTTGTGTATTCAGGTCTCTCATATCAGCATCAATGCTTGCTAATCATTACAAAGACACAACCCTACATTTTATCTATCCCAACTTATGAAGGTCTGTTCAGTTCTGAAGATCATTTATGAAAACCACAGCGTGATTCAGCACTTATTGAATAATTATTGAAACTGGTAGTGATAGTGAGCGATGAAGCAATGAGAGATGTGAGGATAAAAGGTAGAAGAGAAAGAGAGAGAGGGAGAGACGATTTATCACGGTCACAGCACGATAACGTGAGTGAAAGCCTGCAGCGAGGGAAAGTGTGACTGAGAAAGCAGAGGAGAGAGGAAGAGCACAGATAACTGTAATTACAGCCATGCTTATCCAGTCTGAGCATCCACTCAGCCTTCCACTCACAAACACGTGTTTATCTTGCAATACATGTGCAAATTAAATTCACCACTAAGTCACAGTTAAATGAAAAAACAATGGTTTTTTCAATCATTGCTACTTTTTTATCGTCTCGTATTTTTATATAAAATGTACTTGAATTTTCTTTCCTTAAATCTTCTGCAGGCATAGAAACCTACAAATACACACAAACACACTCTGCTCCGCCCTTCAGGGAGGAAACACCAGAACAGCTGCACAGCTGGGACCTCCACCCCTCCTCCCACAAAACACCCACTCTATATCAGGGATGTTTATTTCATCATCTGCTTCAGTGGATAACAGGGTGTAAAGTTGGATTCACACACATCAAAGAAGGTTTCTTTCGAACTTGTCACCTCTGCCTGTTTTCTTACAGGTCAGTCAGTGTTGTAGGTCAAAGGTCAGTCGCTGTCACGGTTGATTTTACCCAGAGCTCAACGGGAGGGGGAGGAGGATGTGGAGGACAAAAGGACACAACATGAAACCAAATATTTAACTTGTTGTTTTACCTGCCCGGGGCTGTAAAAACTAAAAAACAGCATTATGTCATCCTACTAATTATAATTGGAGAACCAGGAGCAGTGACTGAGGATTGTAATTTATACCATGGCGTGCAACTGATTGTAGATTATTCACTTAACAAAGATTGTGCATAAAACAGGCATTTAACTGATCCCATCTCCCCCAGTAGATTCTTTATTAAATTAATTTTTATTACATTTGGCAGTTTGTAAGTTGTAGTGTCAGACCCTGGGAGGACTGTCAGCAGCCACAGAGCATTTCTGGCACAAGCTTGGCATTAACACTGAGTCATCGACTGAAACAGGATCACTCCCTCCAAAAAAATTAATTGATAAACCTTGATAATAAGTCATGCTTTAATATTTTGAGTTGATTAATGGATCTATGAAAATTAGTACCTCTATTACATGTAGGTGGTCAGAGTGCTCAATTTTGGCCCTTTCAGAACAACTTTATACCTTTAGAGAATCTGATGTCTCCCTTCATTTCAACACTTTAGTGCAGTGGGTGTGCCGCTGGAGGGACTCTGACAAAAACAGACAGAGCTGTCCAACACAAAAAGTCAGCCCCGGCTCGGCTTCACCAGAAATCACAAAGTGCTGCTTTAGATGATTCAAAATGTACAAGAACCCACACCAGGTCAAATCAGGTCAGGACTTTTAACAAGCATCAAGACAGAGGAGAAAAATTAAGGCTGCTGTACAATCAAAAAATCCAACCCCATGACGTGTAAGCTACTGTGTGGTGTTTTGGCAGTTCCTCATAGCAACATGCCCGCACAACCGCAGCCTGACGACGCAACAATGACAAACATCTCATCACACGAGTGTTCACCAAGTTGAATGTAAGACCTTTTCAAAACCACACAGAATACAATTTAATAACCTTTTCATGGCCAAATCGGTCGCAGAATGATGGAAAATAAGACACAAAGCGACAACAAAGAGACACTGAACAAACAAAAAAACGGCTAGAAAAATACACAAAACAACCACAAACAGATGACTGATGGATGCATGAACCAATAAAAAAAATGTAATTATTACATTTGTAATTTCAGTTTTTCTAAACTTGTCACTTGTCAATTCTGCATCTCCTGACAGTCAAAAGAAATAATAAACATCACTGTCAATGGCAGGAAAGAAAAATATTCAAGGCCTTTGTAAATCAAATCTTATAAGGTATCCTTTTTTTGAGAGCGAACTGAATTCAATGCTCAAGACCCACAGAAGCCCACACTTTCTGGTGGACCTTGACATAGACAAATTTGAGAACCTATGGGCTAGATCATCTATGACAAACAAGCCAAGAAAATAAACTGTCATGTCTCCACAAACAATGCAACAGGAGCCATGATAATTAAGGTGTTTCCTCTGAACCATCACCTGGGAGGTGTTTGTTTTATTTGGATCTCACAGCACCATGGCTCTGAACCACGTTTTTCTGAAGGCTCCAAACCTGAACACAGACTTGTGCTATACACAGCCTGAATGTGTGAGATACAGCATGAGCTGTGGAGGTGTTAGATGGAGGAAAACAACACACAGGGTGGATGACAGCTGGAAGAGGAGGAGAGATAGTGGGCCGGTCTCAAACAGGCTTTAGGGTCCGGGCTGATGAGCTGAGACTCAGTACTGAACACCCCACCCTCCCCGGTAACACCACACCACTAACGGAGACCACCGCACCCAGATTCCTCAGCTGTTACGAGCATCACTGACCATCCAGCTGCTTCTACAATCTTTACAACCTCTTATCATTTATGAGGTGTAAAGACTGAGGCCCATTCTAACATGAAAATATTCACAAAAATGCATTAAAAAAGATCAAATAATGTGGAGAATGAAATGTCTGCTTAATGGCATGGAGGCTGTTTTGTTTCCATTTAATATTTGCTCTTGGAAACTGTCTCTTTCCAGCAGCTAGTGCCTGTATGTCTTGCTCAAAGGCACCACAGCACTTATTGTTGAAGCTTTGACAAGCTTCATTCATGTTTCTGAATCATGCTTTATCAGACATTTGAACTGGCAACCTTACAGTCACAAGTCGACTTCTTCAGCGTCTATTCTGCTCAAACAAAGATGAGTTGTTCTGATGAACTCGAAAGAAAAGATCAGCGATTGATGGAGCTTTACCATACAATGAAAACATCCTGCTCTTAAGTATCTGTGTTGAACCGGATGCATTTAGCCACCACAGCTGTAAGATTCACATATGCCATGTTGTTTTCTGGAAATTCATGGATAATATATAGTTAATACAGTAGGTTATTGTCTCAGCCTTTTCGTTCGCCCCTCACATCCCGAGATTTGTGTTTTTCACAGGTTCATCAACATGCTCACAAGCAATCCAATGCCACAGCACTCCACAAAAACACAGTATTCATCTTTTCTTATCAGTAGTCAGACAGTGTTGATAGCGTTGTCTGTGCAGTATTGCAAATCAAATCTGCTGTATGGTTGGAGTGATACATTTGGCTGTCGACAAACTGGACCATTTTTTGTATCCTTGCAGAAGTCGGCCAAATTGTGTGGACTCAGTTTTCATGAGACCAAGCTGTGGGGGAGGAGAGGGGGGGGGGGCTGCAATTATTTAGACTGGGCATTGTAAATATAAACTCAAGCATTATTTTGCTGCAGCTGAATAGCTTATTTATATCCACAAATCTATTCAGATAACTGATTGCAGAGGATATTATATGGAAATGGGAGCAGTTTCGAAACTGAAATGTAACAGACTATAAAGTGGTGAATTTGTCTTATCGGGGGCAGGAAGGGATCATGTTGATGTTTCATAGAGTGAGAAGAAACATTTTTACATGTTTTTGAAAGGAAAAAGGAAAAAGGACAGCCTGCATTGATTGCACTTTACAGAATGTGACAATGCTATACACACATTTATCCAGCACAAGATCTAAAACGTAATAATTATCTGCTTAATAATGTTAAATAAGATCATTTTTGTTCTGGTCTGTGCAATGCTATTGGCATTTATTAAAGGTTGTTCAGTGATAATTTTTATACTGATTTCATTCAATCAAGCCTTAACAATATTCAAATATCATCTCTAACTGCAATGACCTGCTCTACCAGTTAATATACTGAGCTGGAAATAAGCCACGGACTTATTATTCAGACACACGCCGTGCTGTCGTCCTGGAGAGGTTCTGTTTTTGTTATTTCTTCCTTGCTATTCTATCGCATGTGATCATTTGTCAGGAATGTTGTCAGGCAACATTACACTCATTACTGCTGGCTGTATAGGGACCTATTCAGTGAGGTGTCGTTTGTTTGTTCTGAATAAGTGTGTCAGCTGGATACTTGCAGTGTAAACAGATATGATCTCAGTGTTTGGAGTTCCATATAACCTGGTGAACTGGAATTTCAACTTTCAAAGAGAACATGTGTGTGACTATCAGTTAAACAGTGTTCCTATGATGTTGCCGGGCTTTACTTTAAACTTTCACATGTTTAAGACCACAGTATTTCGAAAACGCTGAGTTATACTGTATTGCCTAAAGTCTCACTGCATGGGCAGATAATATCATTCATCCCAAATTTCTAAGTCTGCTTTGCCTGAGTTTGTAATCTTTTAAGTATTGATGATATTTTTCAAAGCCTTTGATATGGAATTCTTGGATTTTTTTTCCTCATTCTTGAAGTTTTAAGCTCATAACTTCATTAAATATGTTGTAAAAAGTGCACTTCTATTTCTGGAGAAAAATTAAAATCTCAATTTGCCCAGTTGTGGCGAATACAAAGGGAGAAAAAGTTAACAACGACTCACAGCTCCAGGATCAGGATGACCTCCGCCTTGTTCTCGAAGACTTCGTGCAGCGTGATGATGTTCGGGTGCTGGATCTCCTTCAGGATGTTCACTTCGCGCTCTATGTCCTCCCTCGTCACCCCTCGTCGACTCGATTTGCTGCGCCGCTTCTTGATGAATTTGGCGGCATACTCCACACCTGTGCTCCTTTGCCGACATCTTCTGACCACAGCGAACTGACCGCTAGGAGGAGAAGAAGAGATTGTCAAATGTGCACCTACAGTGGACTTGAAACATTAACACCGAATTTTAAAACAAAATGCCTACAAGCAGCCTACAGGGATCATTAATCCATGCAAAAGCGGTGCTAGTCATCAGATTTTATAACCTTTGGACAGAGCCAGATTAGCTGTTTCCGCCTGTTTTCAGTCTTTATGCTAAGCTAAGCTAACAACTTGCTGGCTCCAGATACACGTACGTATCTACCATACAGATATGAGAGAGGTACTAATTTTCTCATTCTTAAATCAAAGAATTATAATTAATTTCAAAATTATATATCTAAATGTGTTAAATGTAAGTTAACTTTACAAAGAGGTCCATTAAAAGCTTTGCAAACAACAAGATGCAGAGTTTGACAAATAATGCGAGAGGACAATAAACAATACAAACTGATTAAATGAACAACTGACAATAACAACTAATCAATCAGCTGCTGGGACACTCACAGCTCAAGTGTTCAATTCCCACAGGATTCACCAGTTCACTGAAAAACAGACTTTTGGCCTCATCATTATCCATTTGAATGTGGTAAACACATACATCTGAGCCAAAGGAGTGGGCGGGATTATAAGGCCTTAAAACTGTTGATCAGAAACAGCTTTAATTAATAACTGGCTGATGAATCATGGCTGACGCTGCCTGGAAACAGATTGCTGAATAAAGACACCGGTATGTGTTCAGATCCAGATCAGGGCAGCATCAGGTCGACCAGTGGGGGTATTTCAGAGACTTACTCTAATATTAAAACACAATTCTTCTCTTACATATATAACATGATGATCTACCTAGGTTATATCGCTCATCTCCTTTTCCCCCTCTTCTGATCCCCAAACCTGTCTCTAATCTGGAAAAGGAGAAGTGAGACTGTATCAATATCTGCAGTGGAGTATTTGTGCATCCCTATGGAGTAACCTTCAGCAACCCCTCATATTCAGTCTGACAGTAGTGTTTAAATTACAGCCATCCAGCACTGCTCGCACTGTCAGTAACACACTGATAAGAATCGCAGCTCAGCCGAACATCAACACTGCTGACAGGCATCCAAGCAGCAATCCTAAGCTCCTCACATTTAACCATAGACTGTAAGTTTATTGAAATAAAATAAAAAAAATGTGTGTCTACAGTCTGCCTGCTACACAAATGAGTACTTTTACAGTTTAAGCAAATCTAAATGTGGTGAGATTTTGACATTTCAGCCTTACACATGACGTCTACGTATGAGCAACACGGGAGCTGTTATGGAAATTCCACCATCGTGTTGCCATGCAGCGTTGTTATTGAGCGCTGCTATCTGACTGGGTAACGCTGACCCCACTGTCACTCCACCAAAACACTGCCAGCAAAACCACTTGGGGAAGCAAGGACACTTGGCTGAGGGCTGTTGACGCCTCCGCCAATTGTACCTCCTCACGGCCCTGGCAATCACGAAGCACTTAGTGTACCAAACACCCACAGAGGGAGGAAGAGAACAAGGGAGTAGGGGGTGAGAGAAAGAAGAGTGAGAGAAAGCGAGAGTGAGTGCCACATTCTGTCTAATTTTTTTATTTTATTTTTTTTAGATTTCCCAACCAGATTTACAGCAGCGAGGAAGCTTTCTGGCAAAGCTTCATCTGTCTTAGTACGAAAAAAAAGGAAAAAAAAGGCCATAACAAAGAGAAAGCCCTGCGTTGTCATCCGACTCCCACAGGCCTGCCAAGACTACAGAGCACAGTTGTCAGGAAGCAGTTTAGTAATTTAGCTATAGGTTTCCCACTCTAATCCTCTCGCTACGATGCATCTCCCAATATTTGATGAGTAAATGTAGGATCCTGACTAGAGTACTATCAGCTGGAGAGGAGATTTAAAGGAAAACAGAAATAAGGCAACAACAAAGTCCCTTGGGAAGTATCAGTAACAAAAATGTTGCCCTATTCTGACCCGTAACTGTGGTGTCTCCCATGGGCTGCTCAGTGGTATCTGGGGTCATGTCCACAGTCATATGGAGAGAAAAGAAAAGAAAAGAAATCTATTTTTGTCTGTTTAGATTTTTAAAACATTCACACTAATATTTCCACATTTAAATTTTAGTCTCAGTCTGTTTTATAAATAAAATACATAAAATATTTGATTACAAGTGAATTTGGAGGCTTAAAAAGCGGGTGGTGGTGGCTGTCGCTTAACAAGAGCTTCGGCCATCGTTGTCTACAAACTGAAAAATGAATGAAAGAACAGCCAGCAATCAATTAAAAATACCAGACGTTTAAAACATTTATTTGGTGAAACTCTGACTTGGTTTAATGCTGAAGCAGATGAAAGGAGAGATATTTCAAAAGTGAATAATCCGCTTTTTCTGAACTGAACTGCGGACTAGCTAAAGGGAATGATGTCTCTTTAAGGAAGTGACTTGTCCTGCGACCGAGCCAGAGACACAAAGCAGACAATGTGAAGAGGAAGAGAAAGCTGAGGGCGAGGCCTTTCTCATGCTAATAACACTTCCACCCCCCCCACCCCTCTGTTCCACACTCCATCAGTCAGGCTTCCTTCGTGTGGACAGAAGAGACAGACATCAGGATTTGATCGACAGAAGAAAGTAGACGCCATGTACGTGTAATATTAACCACGTACACACACGTACACACACACACACACACAAGCTGTAATCAAATGACTGAACATCTGCTACACACATGCCTGGCTGGGTGAAGCCACATTAGGTCTACGACTGATCTTTGGGTGCTATCATAACTCAAATGATAATCACTGTAGCTACAAATGTGCAGGTGTAAAGGCCACATGTTTACAGCCATGGTGACAAGAACACTTATGACTAATGATTAAATGTTTGGTGTACAAGTTCAGTAGGTGTCGTCTCCTTATTTAACCCTTTTGGACAAACGGATATCCGGGTGTACAGAAAGTTAGCTGGAGGTTCAACAGCTGAACATGTGCTTACCACTGAATACTGGACAAGCAAAAACAACAAAGCAGAGCCTCAATAAAAGGAAGCAGCCATGAGAACATCCTTCAAGTTACCCTCGTCCTGTCAAACTTTCCACTGTCGCAAGTTTGTGCAGAGGAAAAGTGTAATCTGTGAAGCCGTGGGATTCGGTGTGAAAATACTGTTGAGAATGAGAAAGGAAAACACAACTGATTTCCTGTACTGGATGCTACACCATCTGTGCAGTTTTGGAGACATCCTGCGCCACTAATACTTGTCAAGTCAATGAAGCACTTGACAGTGATTTTATTGACTTGTCCAGGGATTCACTTCAGTGACACCAAATATAAATCTACCTACGGCAGGGTGTATCAGTATTGATACAGATACCTTGACTTTGATACTTTTTTTCCCAATACCAATTTTATCAAAACCATTAACAAAAAGAAAAATTAAAATATACATTAAAGTACAAATTTTAGTTTTAATTTACTTTTATTTTGAAGCTCGGTCTCTTTACACGTGTTGGTGTAAAAAAAAAAAAAACAGCAAAGCATACTGAATGCTGGTTGGCTCACTGATGCTGATGAGATTCACTCATTTACTCTTTAGGTATTGAAACACACAAACACACAAATATTCGTCCTCTGCACAAAAAGTGATCTGTTTCAAACATTGGAAAATATTCTGTGGGATATTTTCAAAATGCTTTTAAGCTGCCTGACAGTTAAAACAGGCAAGTGAAGCTTTAAGCCCAAAATTCACTCCAAGTATACACTGAAAAGTATTGTGTTCAGCTGTGCAGCCATATCTCAATATCAATGACAGTTTGTGAATTACAAAAGATAATATGATAATTTGCTCCATGTATATCTAAATTCAGTGAACATGAGTGTTTTCTAAATTTCCCTGAACTTCATACTGCTGCAGGGATACAAACTTTAGATGTGAATCTCATATTACTAAAGGGGGGAAAAAAAGCTATGTAAAAGCTACTGGTATACGACGCTTGGAGAGTTATATGACTTTATAATTACATGGACTATTATGTTAAAACACCTGCTAGGTGTCATGTTGAGCAGGCTGTGACAAAGCAGAACAGTGGCTCTGGAGGATTCCTTCATGAGGGCAGGTAGCTGAAAAACAGCCACATCTCCTCTTGGGTTGGCTAACAGCGCAGATCCAGTCTCAGCAAAGCACTGTGTTCACAAGTTAAGCAATTATGTTACAGTCTTCAAAAGTTGGGGCGTGGTTGGGAGGCTTTGAAATCATAAATCAAGATGAAGAAATCTAATTCACGCCGAGCTTTTCCCTCCACAACAAACATGAAACAGTCTGAGAGCAAAGCTTCGTAGCTGTTCACTCATCGAGTGTAAAACTGTATGAAACAATCCAGCAAAAAAGATACACAGACACTAAAGTGTAATCGGTTTTAAAGAGGCTGGAAGTGGACTTTTTGATGGTGTGACAGTATATTAGAAGGAGTGATGTGTAATGAGGACTTGACAATGCTAATGTACTAATGCTTATAATGCACCTTCTTATCTTTACTGAGCTATACACACAAGGAAGATTCAAATAAAACTATGATGTGGTAATTAAAGCAAAGGATGTTGAATACTGATGATGGACCAATCTGCAAAATAAGGCATCCAAATTTGTAGCTCAGCAAATTAATATATTTACAACTGCAGAAAATGAGTTCAGTAAATGCTGTTATCCTCAGCACAGTAGTAAATGAGCATTAGTCCACAAATGTGATGGTTGAGAGAAAACAAAACTGAAAACATGGAAAAGTTTCCAATCACCATCATCATATTTGAGGATGGAGACTGAGCCGACATCAAACAATAACATAACTAAAAGATGCTTGAGGGAAAAACACCACAGGCTTGTGGGAATCAAACTCAAAGTCCACACTTCTGTTATTTCCAAAGCTGTGCACACATAAAGAGAGAGGGGAAATTGAGCCCACCCTTCGTTAACAACACCAGCTGCACACACATACAAACAAGGGGAAAATGGCAGCGGTTCAACAGAGTTC